CTTGTCTAGAGCCTGTCACAGACTCAAGATGAGAATCTTCAGGGTACAGGAGCATACTGGGCACAGGGTACTGGAGATTCATGAATAACTGGATAGCTACTTTCTACAAAAGAAGATGTGAATTTAAAGAAAGAAAAAAATGCACAAGTACCTACATGCCAGATGGAACCTTCCAGTTTGCTCCAGATTGTGGTCTACCAGTATAAACAGACAGCTTGAAATTTTCCTTCCCCCTGAGCTATGGGCGCAAATCTTGTCAGCCCAGGTTTGTGATTCATCCTCCAGGTTGACGCAATGAGTTCCACAGAGTTAATTGTAAGTATTACCAAAAAAGTGCCTGTGGTTCATTTCTTTCTGAATGGCAATTAAAAAGCATATTAATGCAACTTCTAACATTTGGGTGGGGTCTGGGTTTGTTTTCTCCATTTCCATTAGCACATTATGCCACTCTATTTTGGGACAGTTTTCCAGAAACTGATCCAGCAATTCACAGCTGATATGCCACTCAGATTGAGCCACATCACCTACAAAGATACTTGGAATAAAAATTTATATAGAGGTAGACACAAAGTTAACTTATGGCTGAACTCTACTTTGTTAGGACATAATCTAGTGACGTTAACAATGTTGTATAAATATTACAGCCTAAAGAAACCAAAAAGTAAGAGATTTCTCAAATACCAGAATTAAAAATAGTTCTGGTCCTTTAAAACTCCTCCTATAGCTTTCTCTGTTGAAAGCATTCCTTTAAAAAGACAGCATATTCCCACAGAAGCCACAGTTATTTTCTTTATACAAAGAATGCTAAGAAAAGCAGGTTTTAATTCCACATGTCTAAACTGCAGTCTCTAAAATCAGAGGATATTAGCCTAAAACACAGTTTACTGTGCTACAGGTACCCGGCCAGGCAGTGTTCATTTCAATGGATACTCTTTGCCACTTAAAACATTGCCCCAAAATTTTCATTCCAAGTATCTACAAATCCCACCAACAAGAGTGGAAGTCAAAACACAGGAGAAACAACCTCTATGCAGAATCTGGTTTCCCAGAAGGCAGGATAGACTGATTTCTTTCTCATGTCACAATGGACTTGAAAAATACAGCAAAAAAATTACAAGATTCAACACATGCATTTGAAGTTGGATAAAACAGGAAATAAAATATCACTGCTTCCAACCACCCTTAGTTACTTCCTAGCACAACACTCATATTCACTTGCTCTGAGTTCTCAATTAGTACACATAGGCAAAACTAGATTTAAGTGTGCAAAGTACTCAAACGGAAAACTAACTGGAAACATGCTCCACTTTCATTTTATGTGATTTTTTTTTTAAACTTTGTTCACAAACACTAGCTCGAGATAGATGCAAACAATTTCCGCTACCTGCCAGAAGTGTTTATTGGCTGCAAGCACACAAGTGAAATTAAACGGTACTGCTGAAGGAAATCTTACACACTGCTCAACAGAAACAGCATATCCCTAGGCACAAAAAACTCACGAGGTGAAAGAAAAGTGGCACCATCACTGTCCTGGCTCAAACATCCACTGACACTATTAATCATCAGTTACGAGATCCTTACCACCTGTGACACAGTCAACTGCAACTTACAACCTTGATTTGTCCGAAGCACTACAGTACAGTCATCCTCAATTACAAGCCACACAACAGCAGCTGCTCCTGCCTCACATGCTCACCAGGAAAAAAAAAAAAGTTTTTAGTTTTCTCAAGACAGAAAGTTTATACAGATTTTTTCATGCACTTCCTGCAACGTTATACTTCACTTTTCTTCCAAAAAATTGGTAAAACTATTGTATTGCTTTTAGTTGCATTATTGTCACTATCTAGTTCATCTATTTCAACTATTAATAACTTTTTTTAAAGAACATACATGGCTAAGCTGCAAAGGAAAGTAGAACAAACCTGTTCATCTCAAAACTACTGCTTTGCTTAATCCCCTACTACTGTAAGCAGCCAGGAGGCTGAATTTTCCCTGTATTCAGCACCATTTGCCAGTTCCTGTTCTAGCACAACCCACAGGGGATACTTGCACTCCAATATCTCCTGTGATATGTCTGTGCCATTATTAGAGGCTGACCATGGTTCTCTGACTGAAGGTCTGCCTAGTATAAATGCTTGCAAAGGTGGTTTGACTAGGAAAACAACCACTGTTCTGTATTCAGCAAAATACAGAACAGTGGCAGCACTGCAAAGCGTGGCAAAGAGGGATTTTGTGAGGACAAGTCATATAGTGCTCAAAATGAATGAGGATACTCATGTTACACCCAGGACTGCTACTGAGCTGGGACAGCATCAGGAGTTTGCCAACCCAGCAAAGCCCCCACCAGAAGGAAAAACCCTGCAGTCTCATAAACTGCATATAACATATTTGAAAAGCCACCAAAACTAAATTTCTCCAAGTCCCAACACACACGCTATCTAGATATAACAAAGACCAGCACTGTCCCTAAGAACAGCAGTAGGAACACGTCTTCCCTCAAGAACCACTAAAATAGGCTGCTTAGCTAAGCACTAAGCCTTGACCACAAAACACCCAATCATGCCTTTTTGGAGGTCTTCTCTTCTATTAGGCTGCCCAGAATTTAATATACTGGAAATAGTAGTGTTACAGAACATAGCATCAAGTTGGATCCCTCAGTCTTGCAAATTATGCTAAGAAGTGATACCCATTTATAAATATATCTGAGGATTGCAGAAGAATGAATCCAAATGTTAACTGCAGGATTTAGTCTGAAGGATATTCCTTGTCCAGGGCGCTGTCAAAAAAAACACAGCCAAAAAAAATTAGAAGATTGAGGATGTCCTGAAAATGCAACTTCCACTGCTATGAAAGAGAAATACTGCAGTCAGATGCATCCTTCAGCTGACCATGGAAAAAGCTTCCAGAAGGGTATCATCAGGTCTATGACCAACACCAGTCACTTAATAAACAACTGTTAGAGCACTGATGATGAATTTATTACTATCTTGTAAGAAGAAAGGCTTTCTGCAAGTTGCAGGTCCTGACATACCAATCCACTCACTTCCACAAAACCAATGTTTTTCTGGAGCAGAAAAGGCAGTACATTTACTGGTCCATTAAAAAACATGATGACCCACTACAATAGAGCCTTGGCCTTTCAGCTGATTGCTTATGGAGTATTTACAGCTCAGCAGACTTTAGGTCAAAAGTGACAGAAAGCATTGTAACAACACATCCTGCCTGCCTCTCTCTCATGCACACACAGGTACATCACAGCTCATCAGCTGAGCTCAGTAAAAAAAGTTTATTTTCAAACAGAGCATACAGCTGTACATTTACAAGCATTACTATGGAGAATCTACAAGGATAGCAGCAGCAGAGTGACTGACAAAGTTCTCTCACTCCTCTGCTTCCACAGGCACCAAAACCAACCAAATAACACAGACAGCAGTGTTTTGCAGCCACCATCTGCACCCTCAGTTTTTCAGCAGTATTCATGATCAGACTAGCCATTTGTGTAATCTTAAGGAGCTTCATATGTACTATCTATCCTCATCAAGCTGGCAATGACAAATGCTGAAGTCCTATCACACATACTGGGACAGCTGCACACAGGACACACTTTGAAGCTTACTTCAGATGTTCTATTCCAAGAGCTTGACACTCAGACTTCACCAGACAGTGTCCTGTACAGTTTTATTCAGGACTTCAAAGGCTTCATGACCCCAGCTTGAACAAAGCAATCAATTTGTACAAAAGCTACCATTCTGTTCCACATGCTGTTTAACAGTTTTCTCTCTCATTCATATTCTGATTTCCACTTAGTTTTCAGCCATCATGGGACTCCATGTCAATTCCAAAGCCCCTGCTATGGCCAGGGACACTTTTCACTAGAACAGGTTATTCAAAATTTGAACACTTCCAGGAATGAGGCAGACAAAATTTCTCTAGGCAACCTGTTTCAGTGACTCACTGGTACCACGGTAAGAATTTCTTCCTTTATAATATGTAATGTAAACCTGCTCTCTTTCAGTCAGAAGCCACTCCCCCTTGTCCTGTCACTACATGCTCGAGTAAACAGCCCTTCTCCATCTTCCTTGTAGGCTCCCTTCAGGTACTGGGAGGCCACAAATAGGTCACCTCAAAGCTTTCTCTCTTCCAGGCTGAAAAATCCCAATCCTCTCCCCCTTTCCTTGCAGAAGAGCTGTTCCACCCCTCTAACGATCTCCTCGAGACCCACACCAACAGGTCAATGTCCTTCCTGTGTTGGGGATTCCAGAGCTGGATGCAGGTAGAAAAAAACATCAGATATAAACTAGGTTTGGTCCCATCCCTGCATCATTCAAGTCTAGAGCACCTCAGGAGCCAGCCCTGGTGTGAGCCCCAGGTGTGCACTGTCATCCCTTACCATGCACAAATCTCATCTATTCAAGTGAAAGAGATTTCATTTCTTGCAAATGAGTGAGGACTCCAAAAATATCCATCCTGCTGTTTCTTCAAAGCTCCAAAAGTTTAAGGAACAAAAGTTGATCACACCCACTTGTGCGCTGAGAGCGAGAAACCCTGCTGCTATAAATACAGCTTTGACTGAAATCCTCAAAACAAAAGGCCTTGCCTGTCACTTAGGATGTGCCCACCGAATGCACAAAAAAGACTCTGGGCTTTTATTCCAGTACCTTCAAGAGCTTGAAGTTCATCTTGGGTCACAGGATGCTCTGAAACTCACTTAGTCAAGAAGCCACCTGTGAATATTCCCCTCTTTTCATATTACAGGTACACCAATTCCCACGAGTAACCCTAATTCAATTTTACTTCCTACTGGTTTCCAAAGGCATTTTATTTCCCCAGTAAAAAGTACTCCCCTGCGGGAGCTGCCTGGCATGGGGCCATGGGCACCAGGGCGGCACCTCCGGCCCCGGCCCAGCGCGGACAGCCCGCGGCCGTGCCCGCCCTTCGCCTCCGGGACGGCACCTGCCCTGCCCTGCCCTGCCCGGCCCGGCCCGGCCCGCCGCACTCACCCAGAAGAGCAGGTTGAGGGCGTAGAGCAGGCAGCGCAGGCACTTCACCGAGTCCTCCCTGGCCATGGCGAGCCCCCGCGGGACACAGCCCCATCCTCTCACCACATCCTCCCTCCCGAGGCCGGGCCGCCGGCGCCCTGCAGGAGAAGAGGGGGAGAGGGTGGGTGAGTCCGCCTTACAGCGGGACCAGAGCGCAGGTGGAGGTGGCGGAGCCGCGCCGAGCCCGGACCGGCCGCGCCCCGCGGAGACCCCCGGCAGCCTCCCTTCCCCTCCCGCCCCGCCCGGAGACAGCGAGGGGCGAGCTGTTCTCATAAAAATAATTCATGCGCGGGCAGGGAGAAGCCGCGGGCTACCCCAGGGGCACAGCGGAGCTCAGCTGAGGGCAGCGGAGGCACGGCCTGGGGACGCCAGCTCCCTCTCAGCTCAGGATGGACGCGCTGCCCTGGGGAGCAGGGCGGCCGTGGGACAGCGGCCACTTACCGCCCGGACACCTCCTGCACTCACTTGTTCCGGCGAGGACTCATGGGGCCGGGGCGCGGCAGCGCAGCGCGGAGCCGCGGCGCCCATGCCCTGCGGCGGGCGCGGGGGAAGGTCCGGCCCGGCCCGGCCCGGCCCCGCGGCTGCCCCGGCCCCTCCGCCCCGCCCGCAGCGCTCCGCCAGCCCGCGGCGCCCGCGCATGCGCCGCCGCCCGCCCGGTCCTAGCGCCGCCGCCAGCGCCGGCCGGGAGCGGACAGACCCCGGCGGGGCCGGGCAGGGCTGTGCCTCAGGCGGGGCCGGGCAGCGCTGTGCCCCCGGTTCCTGGGCTGTGCCCCCGGTTCCCGGGCTGTGCCCCCGTTCCCGGGCAGGGCTGTGCCCCCGGCGGGGCTGTGCCGCTGGCACCCACGCTTGTGCCACCCTCGTTGTGGCGGGGCTTCGGAGCTGGTGGCTTTTCCTTCGGGGAGATGTGAAGCGATGGGCTGACTGGAGTTGAATGATATGAAACCCCTCATCTTGTGATACGTTGGCCCAGGGTGGCAAATGCCACACGAAAGGCGTTTGCAGTGTTTCACAGGCATCTCGCAAAGTTCTGCGCCAGAAATTAAACTTTGCCAACATCAAAGCCAAATCTGGTCATTTACAGCCCAGCACCCACTCCCTTTGCTAAACAGAAAATTTAGAAAAGCAATCATATTGGAGAGATATTATTCTAGAAATGGTCAAAATCTGTAGTTATTTAGGAAAAATGATCATTGACTTGCCCTGTAATGTACATGGAAAGAAATGACACAACTGAGCTGAAAAAAGCCATCCTTCTTCTGAAATCCATTAGTGTCTGTGTGCATCTGGTGCTCAGGGTAGGAATTCTGTAGAATCTCAGGATGGGTTGGGACCTTAAAGATTATCTAGTTCCAGCCTCTCTTAACCTTGCAGCCCATCTAGTTCCAACACCCTCCGAAAGGAGTTCTGCTCCTCTGCAGCCAACACCTTTCACCAGGTTGCTCAGAGCAGCCTTGAACACCTCCAGGGATGGGACATCCACAGCTTCTCTGGGCAACCCGTTCCAGTGCTTCATCACCTTCACAGTAATGAATTTTTTCCCCAATATCCAGTCTAAACATTCTCTATTTAATTGATACTGATGTCTGTATTGTTACAATGTGTGTGTATACACACACACATATTTCAAAACTAAGAATTATATTTAAACTCGGAGTTACATGCAGATTAGTAACAAATTTTCCATTAATACATATAAAGGTGTTGCAGTGCCACCATCACAAAAATTAGAAGAAAATATACTGAAAATTATTTCTTAACTAGAACAGGAAAATACTCGAGTTCATGATATATAAAAATTGTTTTTAAAACTGCTAGTTAAAGCTGAGAAAGAGGAAAAATTTTATGCACTACATTTTATGTAATGCATAAAATCTAGCTCTTGTAAGGCCAAAGAAAAACCTGTTTCTTGAAGAAATAATGTCTTTTGTTGAAAAACCACACAAAATCCAGATATTCAAATGCTTATCTCTGAAGCTGCTGATGGAATCTCAATTCAGTTTTAATTTCACTGTTTGATGCTTTCGTGGTGAACTGGGGCAGAGTCTTCAGGTGTATTTGCTCCTCCTTAAAAAGAAAGTTAAATGAACATGGAAGGACATAAAATCCCATGCAACAGGGATTTTATGACAAATTTATATAAGTGCAAATTGTAGTTAAGTTGAAAATAGTTAAGTATATTGCAGAAAAGTGGTGTGTGAAGATTTTTCCTCCTTGAAATTTGCTAAGCTTTAACTGCTATTTTGATCCTCTGTGAAATCAGGAGCCTTTCTGGGAAGTGTAGTAGCCACATTTAAAATCTTCAGTGAATGTTTATAATTCCATACCTAAATAAGCCAAATTGAGCTACAACAGATACTGCTAAAAGGTGACATGGTACATTCATTCTGCTGTTTACATACCATTCATTCTTTTTATTACTACAGACTTCACATGAACACAGTCGTGAGATCTTGAACAGGTATGGTATTTTCAGTGAATCTATGCCAGTTTGCAAAAACAGTGTCAGTTTACAACTGAGCTCCAGCCTTGGCTAAGAACAATCCAATCTCATCTAAGCCAACATAAAAATAACTCAGGTTGTGTTTGTGTTATTAATTGTTCCTGGGAAGACAGCAAAGTGCTTGAGCAAAATTTTATTAAAAATGCACTAAAAAGATATTATGTTATCTTACACTCAGTGATTTTTCTTTAAACATGCCTAAAATAGCATACAAGATGTTCTCTTACTCATTTCAGATATTTTTTGGCTTAGAGTAAAAATATTCCTAAAGTGTGATAATGAAATTAGGAAAAAAGAAAATCAGTCTCTTAGACATCTTACATGTTAAAAATCCTGCTAAAAACGGCACTTCAAGATTTTATGTCTCTGAGTTTTCATTCTTTGAGGTCTTTGGTCATAAGATGCTCTCAGACTAATTTTTTTTAATTCTGCTGCAACAACTTCATCACAAATATAAAGAGGGTCTCCTAGTTGATTTAGCAATTTCTCTGTCATTTTTGTTGTTAGCTAAAATATTAGCTGTCCAGAAGAGATTTTGCTCAAAATCTAAAGAAAACAGGTCCTATTTATGAATGTCTGCTTAACTCTACAGGGGCAAGAGCAAGGTCTCTTTGGAATACTGCTTTCCACCAGGCTGTCAAACTTTGGGATAGTTCCATGATGTCAGCACTGGGAAAGCAATACACAGGCAGTTCCCATACATTCTAAAGAGCAACCTGTTTATTTAGGGCAAAGACAAGAGAGTATTTTTTACAAACAGAAGTGTAACGGTGGAGCTCTTTATAAGTTTTTGAAATATGTGTTTGCTGTTAGCAAGTAATGCTTATTTAATGCACAGAGACTTATTAGCATGGAAAGCCTTGTGGATTGGTATTTTTGCTTGGATTCTCAGATGCCTAATAAACTACAATCTGAGAGACTTCTTTTTCTGTCACAGGACATCCACAATAGCTTTCTAATATAAATTCTCTAGACTTAAATAAAATGTTCATGATACAGTCTTTCTATCAAAGACAGAAGAGGGGGATGGAAATTCAATTAATTCAAATAATCTCTTTCCTCTGCTTATCTGTCTATTTCAATTTGATGGAAACTTAATATCTGTAAATTATATCTGTAAGCTCCTTTGTCAGATGTGCTTGAAATTAACCAGCAGGTTCAAAATCTATTAGAAGGGTGTGGTTTGATAGACATTTAGTGTGTGTGAATGCAACAGTATGGTTTTGTAAGCTGTTCCTCATCAGGAAACCTAAATAAAAGAGCAGTGGATACTAAAGACACCCATCTAGCACATGGCTGAAAGTGTCCTTAATTTAAACTCCGTGATCAAGTGGAATAGCATTAGGCATGCATGTAAATTTATGGTGACAATTACCTGTTAATATTTGGCAGGAAACTTCATCACTGAAAAAGTGATTAGTTAAATAATGACCTTTTGCATGCAACCATAGCATTTAAAATTACTCAGGTGAGCAGTGAATGGAGGAACATACACACGGGTGTGCTTTGGCACATGTTTGTTTTCATTCTGTGATGTATCTGCTCTACTTGGTCGACTCCAATGAATAAATTGTTCATGGACAGGTTTATTTCCAAGATTTTAGTATAAGCTAGAAATATCTTTGGTGGCACCATGATAGATCTTAATGAGTTAATAGGTTTTTTTCCGGACACATTGTCTGTTAGGCATGAAAATTCTGTGATCCCTTCAATTTCCATGGTATTTGTAAAGTTTCAAGGATAGTTAAGTGATTCCTTTTTACAAATGGCTTTTTAATTCCAAGTTCCTGCCAGGTACAGCCTGGGCAGGCAAATTCTGTAACTGACCTCTGCCTGCAATGAGTAACTTGCATGAGTAACAGTGTCAACACTGAGTTCAGGATGGATTTCTCAAGCTAGCTTGTCAGTGTCTCAGGTCGGCATCTCATCACTTGTCTTGCCTTCTCAGTCTTTTACTTGATTGTAATGGTATTCTGTGCTTAGCTTAGCTCCTTCTCAGCTTTGCTCCAGATCTGTCTGCTCTTTAGACTCAGAATTATTTAATTCCCTTCCCTTTGTTCTTTGAGCTGTTTTCTCTAGAACCCTTATCTCTATGTTTCTCTTCTGCTCTTTTCTTGATACCTTTCTTAACTTCACTGGGATCTGGTTTGTCTTGCTTTTAAACTTGGTTCTTGTCTGGTCATCAGCTCTTGTTATGACTGTCTGCCCCATGAATATGACTCTCTAATGACAGGTTTAATGTCAAGCACAGGATGGAGGTTTGTTTAGGAAAAAAAATTATCAGATACACAAACATCTTTAAAATGGAAGGTGTTCTAGTTGGCTCAGGAATAGCCTATATTGTAAATGCATGTTTGTAACAGAACCCAGCATTGCTACCATGAGGTAGAAGATCCCTTCTTTCTTTTGAAACTAAGACATCAAAAGGCACCAACTTTTTCCTATCTCTAGAGCTTGGTTTTACTTGAACATGTAAACAATGGTCTGGAATAAGGGAGCACTTGAAATTAATAAAATGCAGATTAACAAGATTAGGTAATTAAAACCATAGTCTTGGAAACACTTTGGTTTAATGGGCTCTTGAAAATGGTCTTCACTGCTTTCTAGCTCAGCAGCTTTCCTAGGCTCTCTGAACTGAAGTAACATTTCAGCAGGATTTTTTCTGGGATCTAGATGAATAAATCCCTGAGCAACATGGTCTGACCTTACAGCTGGTCCCTTCAAACATAAGTTACTCTCTAAACCTGTGTTTCTGCCTATTTCCTTTCTTTCACCTGTCCTGGCCATCAGTATCCCTGTAGAATCTCCTCACAGTCACACTTTGACTGGGGAGGACTGTCCTCCTTCTTGTTTAACTAGAGGACAGCAGCAGCAGTGACAAGGCAAACAAGTGTCCTTATGGTGGGGATCCCAGGTCTGTATGGGATATTTTGGATGGGGTCTCACCAGAGCATAGTAGAGGGGCAGAATCCCCTCCCTCAGCCTGCTGCCCACACTCCTTTTGATGCTGCCCAGGATACATTTGGCTTTTAGGGCTGTGAGCATACACTGCCAGGTAATGTTGAGCTTCTTGTCCAACAGTGCCCCAAAGTCCTTCTTCTCAAAGCTGCTCTCAATTCATTCTCTTCCCAGCCTCTGTTTATGCTTGTGATTTCCCCAACCCAGGTGCAAGACCTTGCATTTAGCCTTGTTGAACTTCATGAGGTTTACATAGGCCCTCCTCTGAAGTTTCCTAAGTTTCAGTTTCTTACCAATTATCTTCAGAGTCCTGTGGATTATAGTCCACACTTCCTTTTCAGGCACAACAGGGGATTTTACATGAGCAAAGAGCATGTTTTATTATCTTTGATGTGTCAACAGCACTGCTGGTTATCAAGGTTGCTGACACGTCTTATCACAGAGCCCTGGTGCTATGGAAGTACAAAGGAGATCCCATCACTAGAGAGCAGCCACTTTGGAGAGCTGTAGTCAGTCTCCACTGAAAAACTCCTGTGTGGCAACTTGCTTTAATCATATTTTTCCCAGGCAGTTATTTTGTTCTCTCTTTTCATTGTCCAGCTTGAGATCTCACAGGCTGATTCAGAGAAATACTAAACATTCATGACTTTATCTGAAGCTTCTGGGAACTGCCCTTTAGAAATATGAAATGTAACTCACTGTGAACTACTCACAGTGGATTAGCTCGAATTCTCAGATACTTGTGTTGTACAGCTGTAGGGAAGAGATGATAAAACTGTTCTTTCAGAGAAATGTGGAGGAATGTTTGTGAAACACGTGTGCTATGAGTCACAAAACAAACCAGCAGGAAATGTATGGCTGTCCTAACAGCTAAAACTTAACATCTACTTCCACTTAATAGTGGAAGATATACAGACCTCATGCTGAAAGAGGCTAAAAGAATATACTAAAAAGCTCATTCTTTGCACATAATGAAGGAGGGGTCAAGGAGAAGAAGGCATATGATTGTATAAATAAAGTTGATGTTGTAATTTAGTAAGGGAATAAAGATTCACCAACATCTTTAATTCTGACACCTCCTTATTTTTTGGCGTTTGATAAATTATCTCTTAGGGCAGTTTTTCTTTGGGAAGGTGCATATGAAATATGCTTTTATCAAAAAGTCTCTTGCCAGCTAAGGTGAATATGCTACTCTGCACATAGCTGCCTTTTGGTCACCTGTTACACCTTATTGTTCCACCTAACTATGGGATTCAGAGCTAACAGGATTCAGAGCTCAAGTCTGATTAAGAATTAGCAGAGAAATCATCAGTTTTCTTGCCATCTTACAGGGAAGGGATAAGTCTTCCCCTTCTTTCAATTTGTTTCACCTTCTTTCTTTTTCTCCTTTTCCTTCTTTTGGATATGTCTCCATATGTTTTCCTTCTCCTCTTCTACATGTCCTCTACTGCTAAATCTGTTTTTCCTTTTTAGTTTCAGTATCTTGTCCAGATTCTTCTCTGCATTGAGATTGTTATCCAGGATACATATTAAAAAATATGTAAATATACATATGTATTTATAAAACAGTCTATTTATAAAACAATGTATTTATAAAACAGTCTCTGAGGTGAGGCTGTTTCTGAATCACTGTCATGGCTTAGGAAAGTTATTCTCCAGTTTAGTACTCCCCCCTAAAAAGAGCATACACTGCTCCCCTCCCCCTCTCCAATGCAGGGCAAAAGACAAAGGTTGAGAGATAAGAACAATTTACTGTAAACAGAAATGAGATAAGAAAATGAACAGTAACAGAAACAATATTAATAACAAAAGGTATAAGATGGAGAAATGAAAACACGGAGAAACCCCCAACAATAAACGAATACTGACCCATTCCACCCATCTGCCATGTTTTCTCTACCTGAAGGAACACCCTTCTCCTGGGAAACAAGAGTCCCTTTCCCCCACCCCTGGCAATGACATGGGGTGGTATGGAGTAACAGTAGAGTCTGGCCACACACTTTCCCAGCTACTACAAAATTTTAACCCTGTCCTGGCTGAAACCGGGACAATCACTTACACCAGTCCTCTGATGGCAAAGCCTGAAGCGACAGTACCTGAGATCTCTTAACATAAATGGTGTTCCTTTCTCCTTGGATCTGAAGGCCCCCTTGGCTGGCTCACAATTTCCACGAAAATTGCTTCTGAAACTGTCATTGGAGGCTTGAGTGAGATGCAGGTGAAAGCAGGAGACAAAAATGACAGAAGTAGCAACTAACAGACATTAAGAGAGGTGAGACAAAGGAGAATGTAAAAATCTGGAGAATGATGGAGGGATGTCGAGGCTGAAAAAAGAAAACAAGAAGACATATTGAAGACCTATATATTAGTTTGCTATTATTACAATATCTGGCAGGAAGTATGAAACAAAAAAGCTTTAGACTGACATCCTTCATAGAAGGAAAGAAAAGTAAGTTGTCTGGCTACAATTTTATTCTAATTACAAGAAAGTTTTTTTTTCCATATCAGAAGGCATAGATTTTACCATGGCTTTTTAACTCTGATGTGTGATAACTGGATCTCTGTAGAAAAAAAGGTATAAGCCTGCCAAGATGGTTATCTAAACAAAAAATTATAAAAGGCATGGCAAATCTTTATGGGAAGGATGCCTGTCAATTCATCTTTTCTTTTATGGAGTATCTTAAATGGTCAAATGGTAGGTTTTAATTGCTTTGAACTTATATGTGGAAGAAGTGATGTTATCTAAGCTAAAGCTGTTATTCTCCACAGAATGGTGACTGAGACCAAGGTTATGACCATATTTTTCCTTCACGTTGTAATCAGTCTGACATTTCTGCAATGTGAAGCACTGTATGCAAGAGTTATTAGACTAGCATCATGAGAGTCAGCAAGTAACTAGCTTTCATTTCAGCTGGAATCCAAAACAATCTTTCACAGGACAGTGGATGACTGTGACTTCCTTGATATTTTCTTCTGCTTCCTGCAAGTTATCTGAAGTAGGTTGATTGTGCCCTAAACCTGGCCCATCTCTCTCCTAGCACATTTTGTGTAGTGTTCTGCGAAGGTTCCGATTTTTCTGTGAAGCCTCGATACCCTTGCTGCAAGACATACAGCATTACTTCATAAATATATACAGCAGAAATATTGTACAGCTTCCTCTGAACAAAAAACCCCATTATATTCTCAAGTACTTGTAATTCTCAAGTAGTTTGAATTTTAAGTAGGCAGCTGAGAATGTATGGCATTTTTTGGTAAAATTTCCACCACAAAGAGTCTCTTTCTATTACCTTGCCTAAATGTAGTCCATTTTTCAAGGGTCAATTGGCTGCTTGTCATGTAAACAATGTGTTACTGAAATTTTGATGCATTACTCCCATGGACAACACACTACTGAGGGACTGAGGAACGGTGCTGGATTTGCAATGCAGACATAAGCATGCAGAACTGGCCTGCCACTCAGTGGTGCAGGACGTCATCAGTTCTTTTGCCACCACCCTTTGGCACTGACATGGCTGAGCACAGCTACATCATCCACCACATAAGATATACTGGGCACAAACAGGTGTACAGAACTGCTGTACAGCTTTAGTATAACATCCTGGCAATGCTAGAATGAGTGTAAATCAGCTTTGTAGGCAACTCTGAAAAATACAGTTAGAGAATCAAATGCCTTAAAGCTCAATTTTCTGCAACACTAAAATATCATTATTAAAGAGAATTGTCTGCTCCGAGCTAACATATCAGTGACTTGGACAGTTACCTGCTGTCATTTATCCATGATTTTTCAGATGACATTTGGAAGATGTTAAAATGGCATTACAGTCCCAGGGGATTGCTTATCAAAGAACTCTTACTTCACTGCTACACCATTGGGATGCTTTTGATAGTTTTGACATGTTTTAATTTGAATTGTCTTCTCTGTTTGCACCACAGTAGTATGTATCAGCTCTTTCAGGATGAAAGGATATCTTACTGCGCTTCAGAAACTCATTAAATCTATATTTGTAAATAAAGCATTTGTTCCACAGCACTAGGTGTCCTTGAACCACTACAATGAACAGCTCTGCAGGACGTGTCCTAAATGTACTCAAGGCTCCAGTGAATAATGAAAATGTGACTTGTCTATTAAGTGTCCTGGGAACAACTTGTTATGGCCTATAAAGCATTAGAAAAAGTGCACACAGTGGTATTCCCAGAGCTGAAACACAAATCTAATTAGACTCCCATAAAATGTCTTATTCAAGTCTGAAAAATTGCTAACTGATGACAAAATTTGCTTTACAGATTAATAGACTAGTTTAATAGCTATAGTTCTCACTGTGTATGAACTACTTCTTTATGCACTTGGCTGTGTAGATATTAATTACTTTGGCTTATATGTAATACATGTTTATATTGCTGTTATTTTTGCAAATGAGACCTGCCTCAAGTAATCTTTTTAGCCTGTGTTTTCCTTTTCCTTTTTTTTTATGAAAGAAAAAGAAGTCAATCTGTTTTCCAAGTTAGAATTAACTTTCAGGTTTCTCAGCTGAATACCTAGACTGGTATTCATGCTTCCTAATTATTGAAAAATATTTAATTCAATTCAGTGAGACATTAAAAATACAAGCAGAACAAATTTTACATGCAGCAGTACTTTAGACACAAAACTGATTAAAATAGTAATAGGTCTTTTGGGGACACTTCTGGGGACATCTTGGATTTATAAGGAGTTACAGGGTCTGGGAGATAAACAAAAAGAACTTCATCTGTGTCTCATCATAACAACACCTTCTCTGTACTGGTGCTACAGTGATTGGTGTCGGCCACAGCCTTGCACTGAGCACCAAGAATATACTCCCCAGTTTCTGGAACTTGGGATGGCAGTTTTCATTGCAGAATGTTCAACTCTGTTTTCATTAAAAAATCCTCTGTTGCCTATAAAATCCATTTCTTAAATAGTAACTAACTGCAGGACAATTCAATTTTTTTATATGGCTTTATAAAGTAATGAGTCCACACCCGTGTCAAAATCTAATGCCAGATGTTATGTTTGACTATTAGCAAGCCAAGAAGCACAGAACATTTTATTGAGAGGGAAAAGCTTCACTGGTAACAAATTTCAAGAAGACTAGAGGTAAAGGGAAGTGAAAGTACAATTTCAACATAGTATAATACATTTTAATTTTTAATGATGAAGGAAGAGAGCAATCACTTCAGAAAAAAATCTGAAAAAACATGTCAAAGCTAGTTATTGCATTTGTTGACAAAATATCCATTCAGTTTAATTTTCTGTTCATTAAAACATTAATCAGTCTAGGAGATGACCATCCAAACTATTTTTGACCAGCCACCACTGTTTCCAAAATGTTTACAGGCTTTATGTTGGTCTTTCATGAGTGACCATGAGTTTTCAGTACTCTCTTTCAGTCTTTCATGTCTACTTGTGTTACTCTGTGCCATGTTTCCCCTCTTTCATACCTATAAATCTATTTTAATTCTTCCCCCAATGTTATCATCAACAATGTATTTTCATTTTCTGTATCCTAAATTCTGGTAGACAAATCTTAGAGCAACTTAGGGATCCTCACTGTAAGCTTCTCCAGTCTTCTTTTATTTCTCATATTGACAGTTCTTATGTTCTCTGTCTTTATTTTTTCAGAAGGTCAGATAATTCTTTAAGTTTCCAGTAAGCACTCCTCAGTAAAACTTTGCTTTTACCACCTGATGTAAGAGAAATCACTTCCTAAAAATTCCTCTCTTTCTATATCTGCCCATTTTAATCCACACTGGTGCCTTCCTTCTCTGAATCCATGAGGTTATTAAATTGCAGCTGGAGATGAGCAGGAGTTTTTCAGACCATTACATACAAGGTGTTAAGAGTGTACCTTACTTAGCAACACAGGGAAAAAGAAACCTTTCCCACTGTCCAAATAAAAAACCCAAAAATTTAGGTGGCTGAACAACAAAAATGGGAGTTATTTTTGACATGATCCTAGTTTAAATGTGTACCTGATTATTTAGTTGTGTGTTTTTTCATGCTATTGTCAGTCTTAAATATAACCTATATATTTACTAGCCACATGTTCTAGTCTTAAATTTGACAGTTTCTCACCATTGTTTGTTATTCTTTTCTAAACCTCAGAGCATGAAGGTTTAAGAATGTTTTGTTAGTTCTGGAAGCTGGTCACTAAGCTTAAATGATGCTATATTATGAAAGTAATAACCTGAATTGTTCATAAAGTTTATGTCTTTATGAACAGCACTATATCTTGTACACTTTCTTTTTTTCTTTCAAGAAAATTTTATAATGCAAAGAATGAAATCAAAGCTCTTTCATATATGAAATTTATATTCAGTGAAGGAAGCATCCTTTGATAGTGATCCTTTTCATCCTGAAAGTGATAGAACAGTGGCTGTGCTCACCTGACAGGTAACAGGTTCTCCTTGGGTTCCCTCTCAAACTAACCATTTTCTACCATAACTTTCTTCCATAAAACACTGTGTGGCCCCAGTGATAGACCTTTAATAGGATCACCGTTATTTATTCATTCTTAAATAGTAAAGTCTCCACTAGGAGAGATTTCCTCACACTATCTTATGAAGTGTATAAAAAGTATAAAGTATATGCTGTAAGATTTGTCTATCAAAATTCAGGATACAGAAAATGAAAAGAAATTGTTGATGATAACAATGGGGGAAGAAATAAAGTATAAAAAGTATGAAGATATGTATAAAAAGTACATACATGCTTTCTTTTTTTTTCTATACAATTAATGATAGGAACAAAAGTGTTTTATTACTAAAACAAGATGGTAATGATTTCAAAAGTTGTGCAAGTGAAACTTATCATCCTTCAATCCACAGATCTGTTATGCTTCATGTTCACTGTATGGTGTAAAATACTTGGAACATATGGAAAAATTGAAGGTAATTAAGATAAAGCTCTTACAAAACCTGATTTTGCCATTCAATGTTGTTGCATCCATGGTAACTCCTTGCATCATATGGCATCTGTGTAAATGATGCAAAGATATTTCTTAAAGTTGCACAAATACTAACTAACATGAAAGGCAAACTTCTGTGTGTCTTACATCAATGTGAAATATTTTATTTCTATTATAATAACAGAATTTTCCATAATTCACTGAGGAATGAAGATGTGACATTGTAAACAAACTGTTATTCATAAGGGAAAAACATATATCTAAAGATGGAAAAAAAAATGTTTTATGGGAAAAGAGAGCAGTGGGTTAAAGGGACAGCTGGTGTGTGTGTATGTTACCTGATATGGGAGTTCTGCTCTCTGTTACTATTTTGTCACTGCTGTAGTAAGGCAGTAAATGATAGCTACTAGTGAATAAGGCACGTGTCCTGTCCAGCTGTGTCCATGCCTTCAGCCTTCCTGTGAACAGACCAAAGACCAGTCTCTACAGAAAACCCCTCAGAACCCACCAGAGGTGAGAAGGTAGCAGGGTTCTCCAGAAATTACTTTAAAACTAACAGAACTTATACAAGCATGGGTCTTTTTTATTTTTTTTCACATTATCTCACAAGATTATATAATGTGACCATTACTTCCTCATGTAATCTCTAAGATAAATTAATAAAATACAACAAATTTATGACATTGCATTAAATTCTATAGCTTACCTTTACAATGTTCTCTTTGCTCTTTTTCAATTCAGTTGTATAAAAATTTTGTATAGAACCACATAGATCTCTTCACTGAAAATATGCATTCTTTTCCTATCTCTTTCAATTTCTGAACCTCTAAGTCTATATTGTGCCAACTGAAATGAATTATGCAGGGACAGATAATGAAAAATTTTATCATGAACAAGTGCTGAGTACCACTGCCAACACATGTATATACATGTGCACTCACACACACATATATATACACATATGGAGAAGACGTGTTTGGAAGGGGGAGACTAAAATTCAATCCTGAGTGAGTGATTAAAGCTGAACTCCTCATCAGATGACAACAGTTTTCCTTGATTCATATATGCTGGTTCTGAACTAAAAACCATAAAATATAGTTATTAATAATAGCAAATTAGTTCTAACAACTTTGAGACAGGCAGCAGACACAAAGTGCCTCCAGACTGTACTTTAAATGTACATGTGACACTACATACAAAGGCATTTAGCTCTGGCTACTATGAAATTTTTCAGGACCCTGTAAAGTCTTTGAAGAGTGATGTGACCTGCTCTTGTCTTCTTTTAAACAGTTTGATGTGACTATATTGCTTGCTGCCTATTTAAGGAAATGTGCCTATATTTTTTAAAGAAAATACCAGGGAATGACTATACATTAGTTTTATGCAGTTAACACTGATTGAAAATAGAAAAGGGAGAACACTGACAGTAAACAAGTACCTGTATAGGTGTATTTCAGTTGTAGGTACCTATATAATAGCTTTCAGTCCTAGCACAATAATTTAATCTTCTTTCCTTCCATTCTATTCTAGCTTGTTGCAAATACTGTCCCATTTGGCACAGAAACTTCTAGTTCTCTGTTGGAAACCAAATATTTTTCTTTGCAGGGGCAGACATTCCTCAGTCAAGTTCAACAAAGTGGACCACAAGGGACCTGTCTCTGTTGTCCAAGCTAGCAAGATACATTTATGAGCCAGCATCAGTAAATAAAGAAGGCAGGCTACAGCTGTCCTCCAGTAGTTGAGGTCACTGAGCAATTCCAGAACCACAAGTCAGTGATTTAATGGAATTTCCCATTCAGACAATTACAGCACATTTGACCATATCACAACACAAAATGTTTTGTGTTGGTTTCTTATTGCATTCCCACAACAACAATAACAACAACACCCCAAACAAACAAACTGCTGTGAAGCAGGTTTTTCTATCTGGCATCTCTTACATCACTTTTTTTTTTTTTTTTTTGCAATTCTGTGATTGAGTACAGACAGGCTCAGAGAGAGAAATTCTTTTAGTATGAATTATCATGTGCCTTTTCATGAACTCTACAGCCTACAATAAACCATGTTATCTGGTAGGAGCCAAGGCCATTGTGTGAAAGAGGGGCATGCAGCTGTGGCAAGGAGGGGTGCTGAGGAGGGCCCATGAGAAAACAGACCCCTGTCAGGGTTGACAAGAGACCAAAAATAATTCCCCTGAACAGTCAGAATGTGCTCCAACCTGAAGGGTTAGCTGTGAACCCTGCTGGTCACATGGCTGAGTGGAGATAAGGAAAGAAAAGTAGAAAATGAGTACTTCTTGGTGGGAGAACTGTGCTTGTATACTGGTACTACCTATAGGGTACCACACCATATGAGAAATAGGATAGAGGTCATTTTAGCTAAAAAAAAGGTGTAATTGATTTTCCAGCCATTGCACGTCACTACACAGAAAACTAATGCATTGCTCTGAGATCTAATATTTATTCAAATATAAGACCATATGAATTTTAAAAAGCAATTATAACACACTACAATCTATTCTTGCAAATTACCTGTTGTAATTTTAGCTCTAGACAACAATGACAAATTACAATCCTCATTTCAAGGATATGAGATGCATTACATAATGCAGATCTATAGTGTTTTGAACCATTAATCATTATCGTCTGGCAGCACTGTTTGAGTTGATCCTGTTTACAAAAGAAAATAACTGCTAAGACATACTGTTTTAAGCTTTTCTTTATCCAGTAAGTATTCTTTAGAAGGAATCATTTATAATCTGAATTTGCATTTAGCCTCAAAATGGAAAAACAGCCCAGACATAATTGCAGTAAAGAAAGGTAGACATACACAATAAAAAAAAATAAAATTAAGACCTCTTTCTATCATCACCAAATATTCATCTCTTACTATGCTATTAGCAGTTGTTATTGAATTACAACATAGTGTGACCTGATTGTTTTAACATTATGCCTTAGGCACAGAATCTAAGAGCCACTGCATTTTTCTCAAAAATTTGTAAAACATTGTCTTGGAAGATATATGAAGTTAGTTCTTCACACTTTCTGTCAGTTTTTTCAAGAAAGGTTCTCCCTTTCTGTGTAGAGAACACTGTCAATCATGGAGTACCAGATTTCACTGCTAACAAAAGTAATTCTTAATGTTAATTCTATCAGAATATAATCACAGTCAAACTGAAATGAGTTTTTAATAATTCATAAGACTTTTTAAATTAAATCTGTTCCCTATCGATGAAAGATATTCAGTATCAGGTCTTTTTTATCCTGTAAATTTTTTTAAGGGGCTTTTTTATCCTGTAATTTTTTTTAAGGTTTCTTAAATGTTCCTTGTCTTTATTAAATATCACTAAGCACTTGCAATTTTATGAATGCACAAGTAATAGCCTGGCAGTAAGAGGAATTTGCCTGGGATATGAAAGGCTCAGATTCAGTCTGCAGGTCTGCCATTTCTTCCTGTCCTAGAAATATACTCCAGACACCAGGAAATCAACCCTACAGTGGTTTTTCTAGAGATGGATTATGACTTTCTGTATTTGTGTATTTTGTTCAAATTCTCTGCAGCAAAGCTGTGAAGCTGAGTACCCAGAATCATAACCAGACAGAATATTGGACTAGCTCCAGAGTGATTTCTCTCATACTAGGCAGATCAAGAAGGAAAAAATCTCAGGACCAACCTAAATCAGACAGAAGACACTTGTGAATTTGTTGCTTAACTCCCAGGAGTTTCCTGACCACAAGTTATTACCTATTATGCTCTCACTCTCTAGAGTATTGCATTTCAGTAAAAGCCCTGTTGAAGCACTTAGGTTCTTGCAAGCATATTCGTTTATACAGAGTATTTTACAGCTAAAAAACTGTTTCATTGAAGAATTCCCAGTCAACTGCATTCCCAAGTGTTTGCACTAATCTTTAAGGGCAGACACATAGAAGAGCCAAGAAGATCTGAGGTTGTAACTAAGTGGAATATAGGATTTTTATTAAAAGAAAAAAAAATACTAGCTCTGTTTTCAAATTGCATTGATATAAAAAATTGCAGTGATTTTAGTAATTCCCTTATAAATTATTGACAGATAATTATCAATAAGGAGTTTTTCCCTTTAAAAAATACATTCCCTTGCCACATTAGCTCAGAGTTTCTGTAAAATCAGCTTGTGGCCACCTGCAAAGTAACTTTTTTTTCTGGTAAAGCCCTTATTTCTTATAACTTCTGGGATACAAACAAATTTAATAGATATAACATGCAAATATAAAAGACCAGACAGTTCTGCAAGATTCATGAAAATGAGAGGTGAAAAATTTCTAAATTAGAACCTCTTCCTCAAAATTAACACTTTCGTTTGTAAGATCTTCTCTTCATGTTAGAAAAACTGTGGCATTCCTGTCATTTGCTGAAACTAGGCTGTTTATTGCAACTATTATTATGCCAGTAAAGTCCAAAGTGACTGTAACTGTGTAATTGTTTTCATATTTTATTGAAATATAATACTGTCACATAGAGAAACAAACTCTCCACATGCACTAAAAAAAATATTGAAGGCTTAAGATTTAGACTTTTCTTTTGGAAAGAAATGTATCAGAATAATGGAGATGTTTGAGAACTTGGAAGAAAAACAATCCTTCTAAAATGGACTGCAATGGCACTTACTGCCTCATCTGCTTTCACAGTGCATTTTCAAATAACCTTGTAGATGCTGATATTAGGGATTTTTGCATATATGCAAAAATGAGGCAACTTCTTACATCATTATGGTATGTGCTGATTGCAAACCTTTAGAACTCATCTAAAAAATATGGTAAGGTTACCCCTCCAATGCATGAGATGAAAAACAAATTAGGTATTAACTTAGCCTGTCATCACCATTTATTCTGTATTTCTGTAGGAACTAACATGACAGGGCTCACCACATGTGGGACCATGAATTTACATTTCAGAACAAAAATAATAAACCATAACAGCCTTAAAGTATGCTGATGCAAGCCAGTAAGGAATAGGATTAGTTCATTTGTAAGCTAAGCTATACTTCTAAAATAGGTACATTTAGATCATGTGGAAGTTTAAAAAATCAGACAATAGAAGTCAATAGGACAATTGGAGAGGAACTTCTGTGCTCTCCAAGTTGTATTTTCATCAATCGTATACATCTTAATAAAATAATTATCATCTAAGTTAGCTTCCCCAGAAAGACCATTTGCCTGTATCATGTATCAAGTATCACAGCTACAATGTTATTACCACCTTGAATACAAATGGTAATAAAATTTCAAGGAACTCGGTTGTTCTCCCTTTTTTCCCGAAGTTTTGCTTTACATTATCAAACCAAAGAGGTAGACTCATTCTTATGCTAAATTGCAGTACATCTTCTCTCCCTGGTAAGAAGTTAGGGTATTTGCCTTCTGTCAGAAGGCCTGTCCTTCCTGTAACTCCTCTGAGTCTGAGCTCCAGTTTCTCGAGTGCCTCAGTCTCTGCACAGCTCTTAAAACCATGAAAGAGGTGATTCCTGGATTATACTCAGGTATCTGACAGTGTAAGCCCAGAGGCAGTGAAGATTCATGCCTGCCCTCAAAGTCTGCATCCTCCCCTGGGTCAGCTGTGCTACTTCAGTCAGTCATAATGCCATTATTCTGGCAAATTTCTCAGTTATTTCCTTCCCCTGCTGCCACTTGCAACTTCTATGAATTTCCCTCAGTGACAAAGAAGGCTACAAGAGAACAAATTTGAGTGGAGAGTAATACAATTGTATTGTCATCTCCTAGATGTGTGCTCTGAGCACAAGACTGTTCAGCTCTTTTATTTTTTTACCTGCTCTATCTGCAGACCTCAATTCTCAGAGGACACATCTTCTGATCAGCACAGGGCATAGATGGTGTCATAATCCACATTCTTCTGTGCCACTCATGGCATACCAGAAATTTATAGCATTTCTTTGTGGAAACTAGTAGATATGACCCAATTCCAGGCACAAGCATGTCCTGGGCTCATGGAAAAAATACTTGTATAAATCTGAAAAGAAAAAGGCAGAAAATGTCTTTCGTTACAGATAAATAGTTAAAGGCATTTGAAGTGTCAAATTTTACTTAAAATGTTTAAGTAATCATTAAGATACTCACTTTCCTCCTTACTGCCATATAGTTCAGTATCCAGGATGGCAAGGAAATCAAGCAAACAAACTTGGACGTTCTATGAGCACCAGAACTGCTTATGTTGGTTCCTTGGGCATAAGTTATGTTCATCAGCAGAAGATTTTTTTATGGTTTGGGTACTCATGGCTTTTGAATAGATTTTCTTGAGTCTGATACATGGAAGGTTCATACTGCAATCTTCTCCTCAGTGAAAGGGAGAAAAATATCCAAAACTATTAGCAGCAGGAAAGCATCTAATATGTACACAATTAATCTCTAAAATAACAACTTTTTTTTTTTTTTTTGGTTAGGTTGAAATTAGTCCATTCTATAGAGACAGCGCAGAATGTAAAAACAGATAAAGAATATTCACACAAACATATGGATTGCTCATGTAAGCTTTATTTCCTTAGGAAGTCAGGATAAAACATTTCAGTGATTAATATATAAACAGCAATTGCTCATATCCTGCAGATTTTCAGGAAATAACTGAAATCTGCAAGCAAATTTAACTGAGTCTGTAGCAGATAAAATTAACTAAAAGATGGAGATATAATTGCTTAAGTCTGTACACAAAGTCAAGCTGAAAGATAAATGGCAGTTCCATTTTCCTGTTGACTGTTAAAGCAAATTAATTATCTGGGGTCATGGATTTTCTTCCAGAAACAGTAATGTGAATCTCAGAATGCAAGAGTTTGTAATCAGCAGAAAAGGAAGCTGATTTCTCAAGAGAGATTACCATCCAGGCACAATATTCCTGGGCCAAATTTTCCCTTTTGAAGGACTGTTTCACAGAAGTGTGAAGTTCCTGCATAGTGCTGCACTAGACCAGAGTAACATTATGTACTTAAAACTCTGACACAGCTTTTTCCTAGATCCAGCTTTGGATGGAGTTTCCCATTACATAAAGTTGATTGCTCAGAAAAAATACAATCATGCTGTAATCCTTACATCGTGCTCAGTCTCAAGACAATTCAGTTATTTAACTAATGTCCCCCAATAGCCATGGTGTGCAGTACAGCAGGAATGATAGTTATTTCCTGCAGAGGGAGAGTGAAGCTGTGGGTGATGCCCCTGCAGCAGCAGAAAGGGTGGAATCTGGGAGACGGTGGAGTCTATGGCAGCTGGGAGGGACAGCTGGACTGCAAAACTGGGTGGACTGGAAAGAATGGAAAAAACAGCTGCAACAGCAGAAAAATAGCAGGCAACAAACAGGATGTGAGGAAGAATTACAATAAAACAGTTGAAAGCATGTGAGGAGACCAGCAGGCCTGACAGTGCCAACGGCAGCCAGAAGTGCTGGGAATGCCGTGATCCACAACACATGCTGGCAGCAGCGCACCGTGGTGAATGGATTCTGGCCTGCCACACAGGACTGCTGGAGTGCAGCAGGAGCAGGTGCCAAAGAACAGCAAACTGCTCCTTTCTGGTAGTTTAAGAGCTACCCAGGCTTGCGGTTTTATGTAGGCTCTGGTGGATGCCACTTAGCTGTCACTCTGGAAGTTCTTCTGTGAGAGCCCTGAGAAACACACAGATGCACATCTGCAACCTCTGTGTGCCACAGGCAGGGAGGCTCCCTTGTGACAAACCAAAGCACAGGAACCTACCAGCAGCAGCTGAGACCTGGAATAACAATCTAGAGATGCGCTAGGTAGGTCTTTCCTGTTTTTTTCAAATAGTATCATTTGAAATGTGTCCTTCTGGAAAACAAAGAAACAAAACATAAGGACTGTAAATCCAGAAACACTGTATTAGACAAGAGTTAAAAATCAGAGTACTGAAGTAAATAAAAAACTGTGACAGTCCCGAATGGGTACAGAAAGTTCCAGCAATCATACAACTCAGAAGATAGAATGAATTTGGATGGAAGAAGGAAAGGGTGGTATCAACAGATAGACAGCAGCTGCAACACAAAGATGGAAATGATGGGAGTTAGATGTGTCAAACAGCTCTACACATGGGAATAGACAGAAGCAATTAGAATAGAAAAAGGGCATTACAGAGATATGGAATGGGTAAGTGCAGGAGAGGGAGATTTGAAAATCTTAACCCCTATCTGAGAAGTGCACATCAGAACATAAATTTATGTTTCAGCTTTTTTTTTTCCTGTCAGTTGAAAACTAATGAAACCTAGGCAAGCAATTAGCTTTAGGTAGATCACAGGGCATCTGTAATATTCCTTTGTGCCATCACTCCGTCACAGTGATGAAACATGATTTATGTGAAACATTTGCTGGAGAAAAGCCATCAACATTAATAACATTATATAAACAGGAGAAAACAGCAGCTCCTGCGGCCTCCCTTTGCTTCCTGTGCTAAGCAGCTCTGTAGTTGCAAAGGAGTTTTTTGAGCAATGTTGATTGTAATTCACAAATTGAATGTTTTACCTTGAGTTCACAGCTGGTGTTTAGTTATTTTTCACTGTATTTGCATTCCAATAAACAGTCATTAATCCCTGTTTCCTTATCGGGAGCTGTTCTAATTAGGTTGTTCTAAAAGTTGAGTTAATCAATAGAGTTAATTCTTTGCATTTATAAGCAACAGGAAGTTTTCTAATGTAAAAACAGCTTCTTTTTTATGGTCTCTTGGCTTATCACTTCTTAAATGTCAGCTTAAACTCAGTTTGGTATGCCATTGGTATGTCATGATAAACAGCACTTACACAAGCAATCCTACTGAAGTTGGTGTGGCTAGTCATTTGACTATACAACATGAATTAATATGTGCAGAAATGAAAATTATGACCTGCTTCATTTGTCTAAAAAATACTAAAGAAGACTACAGGTAGATAAATAAATTCCTTTTTCTTTTCAATAGATAGTGAACGCATTGAATTGTATTTTCCTTTGTAGTTTACCTCACAATCCCCTGCCATCCCTTACTGTAAAGCACTACAGTGAACAGTTTTCTGAGCAGGTCTCTATTTCTGTAAGAGACTCTCACATTACAATAAACCACTACACATAAACAGGGGGAACTCATACCTTGCAGACAGCAGCCAGCCCCGCTAGTACTTGGTCATTCTGCTGGCATAGCCTAGTTTCATTTTCCTGTTTCACTAACAGACACAGGGTACATGCCATTACTGATGGCAATGGCTGAGACACAGCCCCAAGAGCTGTGTTCCTTGGTCTCCTTGGTCTGGGCACCACAATGCACATAAAATACCTGGGCACAGTAGGCCTCATTGAGAATTTGCTAGCTATACCCAAGCTTGCAAAGATGAGAAGATGAGAAATCACAATGTCCCAATGTCTGTGCTGTCCTGGGATTCTGGTCATGAGGCAAATGGTAGGGACTTACTCTGTGACCATATTTCAGTTGTGGTTCTAATAGTGGTGTCTTTGTTTACAGTATTGTTCTTATTTGTTCTGCCCAAACATGTCTACTTTTTTTTCTTTGAAAATCATTAAAGCTGCAACTAAGCATAAAAGAAAGCGGTGCCACTGATTCAGATTTCCCCTAAATTCACCCAGCTTTTCTCCTAATGAATACAGGAAGTTGTTACTTTGCTGTGCTTTTGCGTGGATTGAGTTCTCTTGCTGCATCAAACCCCTTCACTTCAGTAAGTGCAGGCATTTACCTTCCCACAAAGGTCAATCTTGTGTTTTACATACCAAACTGGGCCAAGTAATTTCCCACACAAAACTCTAAAATTACTGTTATGCCTACACTAGTCAGAAGTTCTACAGAAAAGAGATCTGTATGAACAATAATGTAAGAGATTATTTCTACTAAGGCTAACTGTGCTTATGACCATCCAAAACCTGTTCTCATTTCTATATATGAGAGTAGTTGATATTTCTGGTTTGGCAGGGCAGACTACATGGCTGATGATGGAGTCAGTACGGAAAGTGACCACATTGATGGAGCACTTTTTTCACAAAGTTGCAGTTATTGAGGGTTTATTATTACACCTTCTTCATTCTCCCCCATCTTTAATGGCAACATGCTTGCTATACTGTGTGTATCCAACACATTACTACCATCGGTCTTCATAAAAGCTATATACAAAATGCATGCTTCACTTCCCAAAATTCAGTCATCTTTAACTAACTACTCACCATACACGAACTTCAGAAATCAGAAAAGTACCACTTTCCAATGGTCTTGTCCCTCAAAAACATCCCATGCAAGTTTTACTTACACTTGGCTTAAGCATATGTTTCCTTTTTGCTTGGATACATCTGGCACAGATAAAGACATGGAAACAAAAAGCAGGGTGGAGAGCAAACCTGATCTGCTACCACAATTCTTATGCTCCTATACTTACACCTGGCATCATACAAGCCCCAAAATTTTCTTTCCCTGGGCAAAAAACACGTCTGGATAAATACATCAGTCCATGCTTAAAGCAGTAAGTAAGAGTGATGAAAAAGACTATTTGGGGGAATGAAACTGTGTGAAAAAACCCAGTCCCAAACACGTGAAAGTGAATTACTGCAAGGAGTACTGTAACTGGATGGCAATCAATGCTGTCAGCCAGTTCGGGTCACACTCTGAGCAGCAATCCCAAAGCCACGTTCGTTTCTACTCTCGTAAGGCAGTCCGTCCCTGTGACCTGCGCTGAACGGAGCAGCTTTTTTACCTTGTGCCGTGAGAGGTCACGGACTGAAACAAATTCATTAGCTTTGCCGTTTCTTACGCTTTTAATGAACTACTGCCGGCTGCGAACATTTAGAACAACAATGGGCAAACAAAAGCCTCGAGACTGGTCAAGAAGCTGCAAGTTTTCCTTGCCGTTCGCCTGACTTGAGGCGCTGCGGTCGCGCCGGGGACGCTCCGGAGGGCCCAAAGCTGCTCCGGGACAAGAGTGCGGCGGCCCCTGTGAGGCGGGAATGCCCCCAGGACCGCGGGAACGGCCCCGAACAGCGGGAACACTCCCAGGATCGCGGGAATGCTCCCAGGATCGCGGGAATGGCTCCGGACCGCGAACCGGCCGGAACGGCAACGCACGGCAGGACGCGCAGCCTCCCACAGCTCGCCCAGCACAGACTACGCTTCCCGTGAGGCTTCGCGGCAGAGCGCGGGCCGCAGTGTGCGTCAGCGGCGCGAGCAGCCAATCGCGGCGGGGCCGCGGCGAGCGCCGTCCGCCGCCAATGTTGTTTTCGCTGAGTCGAGGCGCTGGTGTTGTTGGCGGCGGCGCCATATTGGAAGGGACGAGCGCCCGCTCTCGAGCAGCCCCTGGGCGCGGGCCCGGCCGCCGCCATGCTGTACCTGGAGGACTATCTGGAGAGTGAGTGTGTGCGCGGCGGGGGCGCCGGGCGGCCGGGCACGGCCGGTGCGGGGGAGCCGGGGGAAGCCGCGGCGAGGAGGCGGCGCCCCCCCTCCCCCACGGCAGCGAGTGACTGACTGGCTCCCTCCGTCCCTCCCTCCCCCCTCTCTCCCGCTCCCCCGTGTCCCCGCAGTGATCGAGCAGCTTCCCATGGATCTGCGCGACAGGTTCACCGAGATGCGCGAGATGGACCTGCAGGTGCAGAGTACGTGAGTCCCGCCCCCTCCGCCTCCGCCCGCCCCCTGCGCGCCCGCCCCGCTCCGCCCCGCGGGCACCGGCCCCACCGCCGCGCCCCCGCCGCAGGGCGGCACGGCCGGGAAGGCCGAGCCGGCGAGGAAGGAAAGAAGGAAGGAAGGAGGTGGCGGCGAAGCGGCGCCGCTCCGGCCTGCCGCAGCAGCTCCGCCCGCTCTCCCGCGCTGCCCTGTGGCGGTCGCATCCCCTCCCCAGCCCTGCCGCGGCTCTCCGGCACCGCCGCTCGGCCCGGGGGCGTCTCGTCGTCTCCTGCGGGCGGAGAGAGCCGAGCCGAGCGCTGAGGCGAGGGGCGGGGCGCACGCCCCTGGCGCTGTCGCGGCAGCCCCCGGCCCGCCCCGCGCCCCCGCCCGCCGCGCCTTGGCGGAAGGAGGGCCCGAGCAGAGCTACCTTCCCGGGCTTGTGCTGCTCCCAAAGGCATTTTCCGTGGCACGTCCCAAACTCTTTAGATTTTTGATCCCTAAGAGCAGTGATGGTGGCTTGGAACATGAGTTATGTCCCACTCCTTCCAGTAGGCAGCGGCATGCTCTCCCTGAAACTTTCCAGCCAGCTCCCTAATAGTAATGTGGGAAGGTGCCATTTGCTCGGCCCTTTGTGCCCTAGCTGACATGCAAACAAACATACTTTATACTTCCCGTTTTATTCAAATTATATTTTATATAAATGCCTACTTTTGTATAAATATGTATTTTATACAAAATATAAATACGCTTCAAGTTTCTTTGTGGATCACTATCTCTGCTTATATCCTAATGTAATGCACTGCCTTAGGCTGTTTTCAGGCTGCATTGCCATTTCATCCTTTCTAATACAATCTCCTCTGCGACTTAGGTGTGCTGTAACACTCTGGGTAGCTGTTGCAGTCATTTAACACACAATTAATATGGTTATCTATAACTGTGATCCAAAAGTATTCATTAGTGAAACTGCTACTGCTCAAAAGATGAGAGCAATCATCAATATGGAAGGGCCAGGTTATTGTAAAGGGGAAGGAGAGAAAGAGCAGAGATGGAAATTACAAGGGAATGCTGTATAGGAATACAAAATGCAGCACTAAGTGGGAACAGTTCTATAATACTTTAATGTGCTTTCCATTGGATATTTACTTCAGTGGACATAGCAGGTCTGTTTAACAGGCCTTATTGATACATGTAGAACTGTCTATAGGATTTTTTTGGTGTATTATCACCTAAATGTTCTCTTGAGTTCAGTGCTTAAAGTTGTGGGAGCTTTCATGGCTCCTTCTGGGACATAGAACCTCTGAAGTCACTATCACCAGGCAGTATCATAAGGGGAAGTGAGCCCTGACTTGGATAGTTTGGAATAAGTTCACAGATTTTACTTCTGTTCCATAAGAAGACAAAGAAAATAGTAGGGATTTTTTTTAGGTGTGTTTGAGAACTTGAGGCAGCTAGCTGGGCCAAGACAGCAGATTGAAATTTCCTCTGCTTTAACTGATGACAAATAACATTCTGTGTTGTATTACTGGAAGTAGTAAATGACAGTGAATATTGGCATACTAGGACCAACCTTAGGTGTAGAGAAAAATTTTCTCAGACCTTGGTACTTCTGTGATTCTTGTGCAGTGATTGGCAGTGTATCCAAAGACATTTATGAAACTTCTGATCTAGTACCTCTTCAGCATCACTTGCCCAGCTACATGATGAGCACTACGTGCAAACCTGGAGGTTGTCTCAGAAGTACTTGAAAGCAGTACTTTGATGAGTGATGCTGTCCCAGAAATCTACATGATTTGTAATTCAGAGATGCCTCTGCTGCTCCGCTTTAGTATCATTGTTGACTTTGTATTCTGTCCTTTTTGGACCACACTGACTCCTAATGAGGCAGGTCCTGCTGTTTGTAGTTGGAAGAAACACTAAACTGGGTCTGCCTGCTATATATTCTGATAAGATTGCTGTGGAAAAAGCAAAGATCATCTGAGTTGGGACTGACTCTTGAGCTTTAACTGAGCTCCACATGAAGCATAAAATGTGTTTCTCTGTTTAAGTTAAAATCATGGATTATCAGGATTTCATGGTAAAATGTCAGTATCTGGAAAAAGGACTCTGTTCTCATAGCAGTTTTGGCAACTCTCTTGGGAAATTTGATCTAAGAAATGAGTATCTCAGAATATAGTATCACAAGAAAAAATGGATGAAGTCGAGTGTAGCAGAGAGAACTTTCCGTATAATTTGATAGATCTGACCTGAATTCTGAACTCGCCTTTGCCTTTACTGCTCTTTCAGGAGAGACCAAGGTTCTGTGGAAATTTTCCTCTAGGCAGGTCCACACAGACTGATAACATGTCCTCAATTAAAAGTGAAGAGGGAAGATACTTCTTTAATCTTCTCTTCTTTATGGAGCCACTGGAATAACACTTGAGGTGTTTGTGCTCAGAGGATAGGAGATAGAACATTTTGTCTGTTGGCTTTTTGGACCAAGTTAGAGTCATTTGGTCAAAGAACAATGATTTTAGAAGCCTCCATATAAAGTGTGTGCTTCTTGTTTGCCTCTCAGGCTTCCTAATGTTCTCTACATGGTGCAAGTGGAAAATGCTCATTCTTCAGGTTCTCCAACTTTAGCCTGTTTTACTCCAGAGCTGTTCGACTACTTTATCTGGATCTAAATAGAGTTGATGTGAACTTATGTCCCAAGTGTTATGGCTTGGGATTAATAGTGCTCTGTCCAGTCATTTGTTAGATTCCTGTTGGTTTTGGTCCTGAATGTTCCCAGTATAAAGACAGCTGATTAATACTTTCGATCACTGAGTATGAATGATTTTTGGTTATTTATATAAACAGTTCTAGTTGTGAATTTTCACAGAGTTGGGAAGACCCTTGGCCTCTTGGATTTTCACAGTAAATCATACTTAGGGTTTCATGAGCTCCTTGAACTAATTATAATTTGCATTTTGTTTTGGTAAGATGTGATCCAGTTTTAATGGTGGTTTCTGGAAAGTTTATTAGGTATTTTGCATCCAGAGCCTGAAGTTGGTAGGTGATTTGTGCATTGTCACATTTAATTTAAAACTGATAGCTGGGCAAAATGTCACTGAGAATGCTGGGAAAAAAACTTCAGTACTGTTATCTATCCTGGCACTAGCAAGGCTGTCCAAGCTAGTTTGACTGAGGCAGCTGCATGTTTTTGGAAATGTGCAAGCTGTTGAGTGCACAAGTGTCCAGCTGTTGAAATAGTAAACTCAGTGGGAGAAGGGTGGAAGGGAAAGGGAAGGGAATCCCTGTTCATGTCTCAATAAACAATGAAAAAAAATAGCTTGTGGTTGACATTTTCCTTTCTAGAGATAGTTAATGTTAGAAAATGGGTGGTTTTATTTTTCCCCCTTATGATATTTCTCAACTTTATGAAAGTGAGAATCCTGTCCAAATAATAGTTCATCAGTGCACTTACTCCTCTGGGGGTGGAGGGAATAATTTGTGAGTGCTTTCAATTTGCCCTGATCTTCCTAGCAAACAATGGAGAGGCCCTCGACTTAAAGGCAGTGACTTTGCTCTTCAGTTGGTCTACCTTTTTGAGACACTAATTTTTTTCAATTATTTGGTTTTGTATTTGACTGTTTCTCTTAGGAGAACATTTTGTTTCCTGCTCAGTTTGTAACTGGCTAGAATGTTCCAAAGTCAGCAGTCTAGAGCCCTGGGTGAGGAGTTTGGGTCGTGCTTTAAGTCACTACCACTGCTCTTAGGGACAAAAAACCTTTAGAACTTGGAGTCCTGCCTGTCCCATGCTGGAGAGCACAAGAACCTTGATGAGAATCCTACCAGAATGCAATTCTGCTTCTTGGAAATTAAGGTAAATATTTCCCTCCACTGTCCACTGTTGCTTGGTTGTTTTGGTTTTTTCTTTTTTTTCCTCTCTAATAGTTTGCACCTCAGTCCTGTCAACTTTGTTTGAGAAAAAAATTTCCCCTTATTTTCTAATGTTTATGTACATGAGAAAATAACATTTGTCTCAATCTTTTCCTATGCTACAGATGCAATGGATCAGCTTGAGCAGAGGGTAAATGAATTTTTTATGAATGCAAAGAAAAACAAACCTGAATGGAGAGAAGAACAAATGACATCAATCAAAAAAGTAAGGATATCATAAGAGTGGGTCAGATTTTTCTTTTGCAAACTAAGACAACCTTGGGAAAAAATAGTTTATGATTGATGGGAGATTTAAGTGTTCAGAACTGTGCCTTCCTTTGGGCTTTCATGGAACTACCTTGGAGGAGAAAAGTGAGTGAAAGGTTTCTTTGATCAAGAGTTTCTCTGAAGTTTTACAGAGCACTTGCTAGCATTTAAAAAAATGTAATCCTGAAATGGTGAGGAAGCCTGAGCTCCTAAATTTGGAGCTCAGATTTTCTTGGTTTTGTTTGTGTGACGTGAAGTTGCCCAAATTAATGTGCTTTCTTTTAGAGGATATTTTTCAAGCTTAGATTCAGCATTTCCTGTGATTTTCTGCCTATGTCCTTCTACACATTACACATATGATCTATTTAGCTTGAGAGAGGGAGGAGTAAGAACATGAATATGAATGTGTTCTGTGTTATCCTTCAGTACTTGAGCATTGGTAATGGTATTTTTAGCAATGTAGTCCATCATTTTGTCAGGAGAAACTCCTTTGTAGTCTCCTACAGTGGCTACTTCAGCCCCTAATTTGGATAAGGGTTGTTTTCTTCTTTAATTAAGTCAAATAGGTTTTTAAATTCTGAAAAAGAAAAAGGTCAGAGCTCTGACTCCACTGGAATAAAGGAAATTTTTCTGTTGACTTTTGTTGAATCAAAATTTCAAGTAGTTTTCACAGAAGATACTATTCAGTGGAAATTGAGAATTAAAAGGCAGTAAAATCTGTTCAAATCTAAAGTAAAAGCATTTGAAAACACACCTTTTTTTAAAGTTTTTTCTGTGGATTTTCATGGATTAGAGGAGACTTCTAGATTGTTTTAGTCAAATTATTTAGAATGCACTCACAAGTTAGAGAAACTTATTTTAAAGTAATTTAAATTATATGCAATATAATCTGTGTTTAACTAGAGTGCTGGAAAGGCTTCCCCACAGAGTACTTCAGTATCATTTTGAAGAGCAGTAGGATTTGTAGTGGTCCTGAAATAAAAGACACACTCTTATTTTAAGTCCATAACATAATGCTGTGTAATGTAAAATAAATCCAAGATTGTTTAATTTCTTGCAGACATCTAAATATCACTCTAGTAAGAAGTATCTTCTTCTTGTAATTTGGCTTTTTCTAGCACAGAGAAAATAAATTGATATATATTATATCTCTCATTTAAAATTCAGATGATTGTTGTTTACAGTAAAATTTCAGTCTTTCTGAAAACTGACTTAAATTTGTCCTTTTGACTTATATTTTGTGCTTCATAACAGCAGCTTAAACTTACTGAAATTAATTCTCTTATATTAATATTTTTTTTTAATTCTCTTCATAACAGGATTATTATAAAGCTTTGGAAGATGCAGATGAAAAAGTGCAACTGGCTAATCAAATATATGATCTGGTAAGTGGACACAAGAGTTGTGCTGAATTACCTAAATTTATGCCCTGAGAATATCTAAGCATTTTGATAAGCACTGCAGTCGTGCTGCAGTGTGCTGTACTTTTATGTTGTCTGCATACAGATGTTTTGCTAGTGAAAGAAACATTTTATATTTTAAGAATTTTGGGTAGTAAGTGTCACTTAAATATAAATCAGAGAAATAGTATTAGAAATCCTAAGATTTTAATGCTTGGTTTCAGCCCGTTTAGGAGACTAGTTGAGAGAATCCCTTGTGATGCAGTGTTGAGGAGTCCAAGAAGGCTGGGCATTCTTCAAGAAGGAAATCTTAAATGTATAGGAGCAGCCCATCCCCATGTGCCAAAGAGATGCCAGCAGGAAGAAGACCAGCCTGGCTAAATATAGAGCTTTGGCTTCAATTTGGGGAAAAAAAGAGAGTATATCACCTTGGGAAGAATGGACAGGCAACTTGAGAGGGCTACAAGGTTTTTATGAGGTTATGTGGGGAGATAATTAGGAGGGCCAAAGCCCAAGTCAAGCTTTATCTGGTTGCTGCTGTGAAAGACAAAAAATATTTTTAAAAATATATCAGCAATAAAAGAAGGGCTGTGGAAAATCTCCATCCTTTACTGGATACAGTGGTAAACACAGTGATGGAGGATGAAGAAAAGGCAGAGGTACTTAATGCCTTCATTGCTGCAATATTTAATAACAAGACCAGTTGTTCTCAGGGTACCCAGCCCCGTGAGCTGGAACAAGTGGGTGGGGGGCAGAATAAAGTCCTCATAACTCAAGGGAGTCAACAACCTGCTGTGTCACTTAGACACACACAAGTGTGGGCCTATGATGGGATCCTCCCCATGGTTGAAAAAGTCACTGAGCCCCTTTTGGGTGTTTCCCAGAGGTCCCAATTGACTGGAAATCAGCAATGTAATGCCCATGTACAAGAAGGGTCAGAAAGAGCATCTAGGGAAGTAAGGGCCTGTCAGCCTGACTTAGTGCTGGGGAAGGCCATGGAGCAGATCATCCTGAGTGTCATGACACAGCACAAGCAGGACACCCAGGGAATCAGGCCCTGGCAGCAGGGGTGTAGGAAAGGCAGGTCTTGCTTGACTGAGCTGATCTTCAGTGATGAAGTGACCTGCTTAGTACATGAGGGAAAGGCTGTGGATGTCGTCTACCTGGACTTTAGTAAAGCCTTGGACACTGTTTCCTACAGAATTCTCCTGGAGAAACTGGCTGCTCATGCCTTGGGCAGGGGCATTTTTCATTGGGTGAAAAATTGGATGGATGGCCAGACCCAGAGAGGGATGACATGTGATTTAAGGTTTATTTATTTTACATTTCTCAAAAGAACAGAACCTGCAAGTCAGACTACACTCAAATATAGAAGACATAAAACTGCTTTAGTTGCACTACAACTAGCCAAAAGTTTGTTCTAGAAGTTGGAACTGCCCATTCTCTTTTGCTTAGCTGATAACTGGAAAAAACTCCCAGTTTTTAATAAAAATGGGTAAATTTTGATGTGTGATTACAGATGTAGAAAGCATTTGGAATGTAGTGTTTCTTTTCACGATAGTGAGTTGAGAATTTTTTTGATTCATTTTTAGTACCCACCAGCATGTCATAGTTTGCTGAAATGCACAGGAGTCTCCACTTTCAGTTGAGACTCAGAACACCAAATTTATTGGTGCTTATAGTGGCACAAAAATTGCACACAGGTTTCAGTTCAGAACTTGCAATTTCCCCAAAGCAGCCCAATTTCTACAACATGTCATGTAATGTTCTTTCTCTTCCCTTTTAAGTTTGCACCTCCAAGAGCACCTTTTAAGAACACCTCCAAGTCTTCATCTTTATTTCTGAAAAGAAGTGTCTTGGAGCTTTCCCTATGCTATTTTGGTGTTAACAACAGTGTCTCTTCTGAGTGAGACAAATGGAGGTGACCAAGAAGATCCCTTCTGTGCATTATTGTGCTTAGTGCTGCGTGGCACAAAATTGCTGGAAGGGAAATACTTAGCAAGCCTGAGATTAAGGATGTAGATATTCATGTTCCAGAACTGGGTGCTATTTTTTTTTGCTTTGTCTAACAAACAGGTAGACCGTCACTTGAGAAAATTGGACCAGGAACTCGCTAAATTTAAAATGGAACTTGAAGCAGATAATGCTGGAATTACAGAAATATTAGAGAGACGTAAGTATGCATGATTTTCTTCAAGAACTTGACAAACTTTCGGTCAATTTGCAGAATTAAAGTATCATACACTTGTTAGTGGCTGCCAGTATTTTCACCCATGTTTTAACTGACTGAAATTTTAGTTTAACCCACTCTCAAATTTTAGTTTCAACCTTTATTTATACCAGTGAAATCAAAATACATTTGAGTAAGTAGAATAATTTTTTCACACAGCTGTTGTCCTTGTGAATTGCTACAGCGAGATACATAATTCTTTAAACCTGTTTTTAATGGTTTTATGTATTCAGCCAAGTACTGTGGCCTAAGCATGCCACCTGCCCAGTTGCAAGGGTAACATTTCTTCCTTGAACTGATTGCCACCAAACTTAAGGAGGGTCATTATTTTAGTTTTCCATGTACTTGGTGGTTTTCTATTTTAAAGGGGCAAGAATGGGTTGTTCTATAATGGGCCAGTGAAGGAAAAGCATTTTAGGTAGGAAGCCTGCATGTTAAATACAAACATGCTGATATTTAGAATGTGAATAAAAATGTAAAGTTACAGCTTTTCGCCAGTTTGGTGTAGAAGAATGTGTCTTTTCTGTATGTATCAGCATTTAGACATCAAATTCAAATGTGATAAATTTCTGAGTTGATATAACTGCTGTGATTAGGGAGGCAGTGGCTCTCCTCATAGCCAAAACCAGTGAAAATTTACTTGAGTCACTTGGGCATATTAAGAATAAGCATTCTTTCTTGGAACTTTTTGTGGCTGAGTTGTATAAGCTGTGAGTTTGGGGCTATTTTATTTGTAATTGGTATTACAAATAACACACACAATATAAGAAAACGCTAAATTAAGTCCTATTCATTAACAAGCAATTACAGAAAAGGATTAGTTTACTTTAGTTTAAATACCAGTTGGTTTTAGGATGCAGTGCTACCTTCTTTAGAACCACGTGTTTGGAGAGGTTGCTAGATAGGATTTCAAGAAATCAAAATAGAGAAGCACTAGACTGTTTGTTGCATCTGTAAGGTTTGTTTGGTTTGAGGGTTTTGTTTCCTTGTTTGTTTTTAAATAAAGCTAAAAGTACAAGACTTAACATTTTTAGCTTTCAGAGTAAGTAAATACATAAGGTTGAAGTCCCACCAGAGGGCAGCCTTTGGGCAAGTTCATAACGTGATTGAAGTTCTCTCAGCCAAAATAGCTCCTTATGCTTTGATCCTCTTCAAGAATAATTATATTTAAACTTTTGCAATATTTATGTATTACTCATATATTTCAGTGCTTCTTGAAAGCACTGGAAGAGGTAAAGAAATGCTGAGGATACAGATTTTGAAAAACGAATATGAATTGCTTTCTTGTTTTGTCTTCTGTGTAAATGTAAGTTGGTAGGTATTGCACCTACTTAAAAATCTTTTTGTTAGAGATTGGAGAACAAAATACTGTATATTGTTGCAAATTTATAGCCAAAGTCTCTCCCATGCTGTGATTATTTAGCCTCATCTTACAAGAAATGTTATTCTTAGACATATACTTGGATTTATGCCTGTCTGACTTTTTCTTGTTTTGGGGGGGAGGATGGGGGTGGGGTTTGTTGTTGTTTTGTTGGTTTTCTGGGGTTTTTTGTTTTATTTTTATTTGTATTGTTGCTCTGTGTATTTTGGATGTTAAGAAAATCTGGATGATGATCTGCAGCCCTTTCTTTTGAATGTTAAATCTTCTTTAAAGATGAAACTGCTGTTTTCTTGAGTTTTGACTGAATGTGACACGGTAGACTCGGTGGAACAAGATGCCTTGTTTATACAGTTTACATTGTTCAGTCTTCAGTTCATACTGGTGTTGATTGTCAGTGCTTTTGGTGCAGCCATTCTGCAACTCATTTGATTAAGTGGCTTGGTGAGGTCAATGTTCTTGGTTCTTCTTATTTGACTTGATTTTAAGTTCTTGATTTCAACAGTTGGACAGTAGCAGTCACCAATTTTTATTTGAGAACTAATCTCACTGGTTCATGGTTATACTGTAGAAAGGGTTTTAACTCCAGCAAAAATTCTTCTGATTAAAATAAATATAACTGCATTGTGATTTGGTTAATATTTTAAAGATCCCTTTAGCATGTAAAAGTTAAAATGGTGGTAAGTCTCAATTTTCGTGTCCTTACTTCCTTCTTAGGGTCTCTGGAGCTGGATACACCAGCACAGCCTGTGAATAACCATCACTCCCATTCTCACACTCCAGTAGAGAGTAAGTATTTGAAACTTATAAAGATGGCCACTTTTTATGTTTCCTTTGGGGTTTTTCTGTTGAGAAGTATGAGGGAAAAGATGGTTTAGAACTTTTTTCCCCTCCATCATTGCAAGGAGGAAACAAAGCATAATAAACACTAATCATATCTGCTAAGAAGTGCAAGAATGAAATAGGTTTTGCTTGTGGGAATTAGTTGAAAGTGCTAGCATAATTTGACTTTCTGAATAAATTTTACATTTTTCTTCATTTATTTCAGAAAGGAAACACAATCCATCTCACCATAGTACAACAGATCATGTTCCTGAAAAGAAGTTTAAATCTGAAGCTCTTCTATCTACCCTGACATCAGATGCTTCTAAAGAAAACACACCAGGTAATCCTAATTGTCTTTCATTTCATTCCTTTTTAGTCAGAAGAAGACAAACTTAATTATATTTGTGAGTTAGTCTTCTGAAATCACAAAATCATGGAATAGGTCAGGTTGAAAGGGACCCCAGTGGGTCATCTGGTGCAGCCTCCCTGCAAAAGCAGGGCCATCCCAGAGCACATGGCACAGGGTTGTGTCCAGACAGTTGTTGAATATCTCCAGCGAGGGAGACTCCATAGCCTCTCTGGACAGCCTGTTCCTATGCAACCTGTCCTGTGTGTGGCCACCTGCACAGTACAGAAGTTCTTCCTTATATTCAGGTGGAGCTTCCTGTGCATCAGGTCCTGCCTGTTGCCTCTTGTCCTGTTGCTTGGCACTACCAAGCAGAGGCTGGCTCCATCCCCTTGGCACCCTCCCCTCACCCTCCCCTCAAATGCTCACAGACAGAGATGGGGTCCCCTCTCAGTCGTCTCTTCTCGAGGCTGAACAGGCTCAGCTCCCTCAGCCTTTCCTCATAAGGGAGGTGCTCCAGTATCTTAATCACCTTTTCTTCATCCACTGGACCCACTGCAGGAGCTCCATGTCTCCTGTACTGAGGAGCCCAGAACAGGACACAGCACTCCAGGTGCAGCTTTACTAGGGCTGAGTGAGGGTCAGGATCACCTCCCTCAACCTGCTGGCCATGCTTTTCCCAGTGCTCCCCAGGACACCATTGGCCTTCTTAGCCCCCAGGGAACACTGCTGGCTCAGGTACAGTTTGTTGTTCACCAGGACCCCAAGGTCCTTCTCCACAGGGTGGCTTTTCAGCAGGTCAGCCCACAGCCTGTGCTGTTGCTTGGGGTTATTCCTCTCCAGGTGCACTGCACTTTCCTTTGTGGAATTTCTAGACCCTGTGCCATCAATAAAGACCTTCTGGGATCTGCCATTTAGCCAGTCCTCAATCAGAGACTGATACCCCCTTCCCTGGGATTTTCAGTCACTTGAAACATGAGAAATTGCAGGCATTCTTAGTCATCTGTGTTTTCCATGAAGTGTGTCTGCTTTGTTGTCATTCAACAGCTGTATGATGGCTGTTTCTTTTTATTTACACTTTGAAGAAGATGAAAGTACAGTTTCATTCAGCTAGTAGTACAAATATAAGAGATCAGTGCATTATTTTCAGGAAGAAAATGCATACAACAGTTTCCAAAGAAAGGGAAAAGAATTTTCACACCTTTTTCTAAGACTTGGTCGAAAATAAATTTTTTTTCAGGTGTTTTCTACATCAAAAGAAAAGTCTTTTTTGTATATAGTGACTAAAAAAACCTAAACATTTCTCCCTATTCTCAATATCAAGGTGTTTCATAGTTTCTTTTCTGAAATAGTAAATCAGCTACCTCAGTCATGTTTTAAGTCATTTCAGTCATGTGTATTTCAGTTTTCTCTTGAAGAAACTTCACTTGAGGCTGCAAATAAAATGTAGCTATATTTGAGCAGCTGTCATCCTGCAGATGACCCTGGAAATTGTGTTGCATTAAAACTGATCTGTAGTTTTTAGAGTTAAGATTGTTCAAAGTTTTACTTCAGAAACAGTATAGGTGTGTAATCATTCTTACCCTCTTCTTGATGATTATAGTAGTGACAGTTGTTTCAATATAGGCACAGGTATTGCAGCTGCATCTGTTCTTCAATAGCTGAGTATCATAGTGAGATCATAGTCCTTTCTAAAAGGACTCCTTGCCCATGAGGATAAATAGGGAACAAACTTCTTTTTCTTTTTTCCTCTCCAGAAACAAATACTGGCTGTGTCTAATTACTTTTAAAACCTTTTTTCCAAATGATTAGATTGCTTTGATGCGTAAATGGAGTTCCTACTCTTTCACTGGCTGTCATATAACTCTTCTTAAAATGCAAAGGAATTTAGTTTCATTTTGAATTTCATAAATGTGTTCTGTTCATCAAGGGTGTCGAAACAGTAATTCATCATCCTCTTCAAACAATGCATACAATACAAACTCTTCTCAACCATTGGCATCATATAACCTGGGCTCATTATCTTCAGGATCCGGGGCCGGTGCTATTACCATGGCAGCAGCTCAAGCAGTGCAAGCCACGGCACAGGTAATGTCAAACTATTCTTGTCATTCTGCCATCTGCTTATGATTAAGAAGAAAGGCTAGTGACTGGTTTTGTTTTTTTTTTTTTAATCTGAATTCCCATGATCACGTTCAGCTGAAGTGATTCAGTTCTTACATTAGAATTTTATTAATATGCGACAGTTTCATCCTGTGTAACTTGCCTACAGGGACAGCTTGTTTTCTGACTTTTCCTGCAAGACGTTCTCACAAATTTCACTACTTTCTGTACATAATTTCATTAACAAGGTAACGAGTGAACCTGTGCATATCACTAGCAGTTAGCAGCCTTATGTAGGAGCTTTACTGCGTAATCTGATACAATATCAGCGTTCCTTTTAGATGAAGGAGGGAAGACGAACATCCAGTCTAAAAGCCAGCTATGAAGCATTTAAGAACAATGATTTTCAGCTTGGAAGAGAATTTTCATTGTCCAGAGATTCAGCTGGATATTCATCATCAGCTCTGGCATCTACATTAACTCAGACATTAAGTTCATCAACCACAGATTCACGAAGTGGCAGAAAAAGCAAGTAGGTTTTCTTACTTGTTGATTGCAATTATCACTTTGAAAGCAGATGAGCTTTTTTTTTAAAAGGTCATGGGCCATAATAGAAATACATTGTATTTAGTATCTGTTGGGGGGAATCAGCAGAAGGTAGTTACTGCCTCTTGGCCATTTTTTGTGCAGGGCTGTGTTCTTTTGTCCTCCCACTTCTTTTTCTTTAAGTAAACTCACTCTATTGATTTGCTTTTTTATCTGAGATACAATCAAGTTTCTTCCCTCACTTTCCTGTGTTATAGAGAGGATTGATGTAACAGCAATTGTTGGGAATTACTGTGCAATGGTTTGTAGATGGTTTTGAAATAATCTGGAGATGTCTGATGCCATGTAAACATGACACTTTCTAATGACTGACCGTCTAGAACAGGGAATGAATTTCATTTCTGATTGAAGTGAAGTTTTAAAACATTTTTAACAACACAGCGTCACAACACATTCAACAATCAGAACTTGTACTTGAAAGAATTTATCTCAAAATACCCATCCTTTTAAATTGTCTTGAGTTTTTTTCTTCATTCAAATTTGTGTGTGTTCACAACTCAGTTAATAATGCTGTTTGAGAAGCATTTTTCATCTATGAATATCTTGGGTGTCAGGTCTGACCTATAAGCAAAAGCAGAGAAATTTTGTTCTGGCACCATTCCTATGGAGTGATTGCTGACGCTTGAGTGGAGATTAACAGAGAATCAGTCATCTTCAAAGCAGTTATCTATTGTACATGACATATGACATTATTTGTATGTAAATTCCTGTTTTATTGGTAACAATTTTTGTAAGGACACCAAAGCTATTGATGGAAAACTTTGTGAAGAAAAGCATTTGTTAAAGCCACTTGACAGTTTAGAGCTGTTAAATTCCATTGATTAGAGCAGCACGTCCTGCACTTGTAAACTGGTGGGACTTGTTTCCTTTTCCAAGAGCATACAGTGAGTGCATTCCAGTGCTTGTAGTGGTTGAATGAAATGTGATGGTGAATGATAGCTATGGCATTTACATACTGCAGCAGTTCAGAGTCAACAAAGTACTTGTTTAGTGATTCTTTCACTTGGCAGAAAATAAATCATCTACACACTTCTTTTCCTTTTTTTTTTTTACTCTTCCTCAGAAACAACAACAAATCCTCAAGTCAGCAGTCCTCATCATCATCTTCTTCTTCCTCTCTATCATCATGTTCTTCTTCATCTGCGCTGGCACAAGAACTGTCTCAGCAAACAGCAGTAATACCAGAGTCTGATTCTAATAGCCAGGTTGATTGGACCTATGATCCAAATGAGCCACGTTACTGTATTTGTAATCAGGTAAGGATGGCCTCCAAATTGAAATACAACTACAGATGCTGTTTCAGTGTAGCTGAACTTCCTTCTCTGAATGCTAATTTTGAAAAAGCTGCATTTTTACTCTTGAACTTCTGATCTGTTTTTATTTACTTACTGGTGGTGTTGAATGAACTGTTGAAGCTAAAAACAGTCCGTTTTTTAAGTGATGTGATATCCTTGGAGAGTTTTAAATCTTGTAATGGAGACTTCAGGAATAATTAAATTTTTAAAAAATGGAGAGGGTTTACAGTGAATTTAGTTTTCTATCTGAAATATACAGATGAATCTTCTTTTGCATAAACAGTTTTGGAAAGTCAATTTACTATGAACATGATGATGTTTGGGCTGTGTTACAAAAGTAAAATGAAAATGTTGTTACTGCTATTAATGGAAAAACTCCTCAAAGGAAGAAATTTGAATGGTGGCCCTTTCAAAATGTAATTGCTAAGGGATTTTTTTCTTATTTTACTAGGTGTCCTATGGTGAAATGGTAGGCTGTGATAACCAAGATGTAAGTAACAAAGTTCAAAAGGTTCATGAGAGGCTTATGCATATAACTATTGCATGTAGGAGTTGCTTTTTTTTTTAGAGTTTGTTTTTGAGTAGAGTTTTTTAGAGTAAAGTGCATATGATTTGAACCATCCTTCAGGAAACTTCTCATGTCTCCACACAGCTTAGATTCTTTAGAAACCTGCAGCCTTTGCTAGGTTCAAAAATGCCCTGCTTCAAAATATCCTTTATTCCTGTGAATTTTCAGCTATTTCACTACTAATAAGAGTTGTCCTTTTCAAATAAAAAAGTTTTCAAAGAACAGTTGAATTTTCAAAGAACAGTTGAATATAACAATGTATTTACTGAGATAACTACATTTAAACAAGTGATTCTGATTTAGATTTCCTTCTCAAACTAAGTATTTCAAAGCACAACATACTTATTTTGCTCTGTAATGTGAGTCCATATATGACTCCTAGAATTCTTATCATTTTTCTTAGTGTACTGAGTGTATGTTGCAGATCTTCCCCTCTCCTTGTTTTGTCCTGTGACTGGTGTGAAATGCAGAATCTACACTTTCCACTTGTGTTCCATTTTCATAGAACTCTATTTGTGATACACATTTTGAAACAAACCCCAATTCACAAACCTTGTCTTTGAACTCTTTTTATAGTGCCCTATTGAGTGGTTCCACTATGGATGTGTTGGACTGACAGAAGCACCAAAAGGGAAATGGTACTGTCCACAGTGTACAGCTGCAATGAAGAGAAGAGGCAGTAGACATAAATAAGTTTGTTCATCTGGAAAAAAGTTGCATAATAAAGGTTTTATAAAGGACTTGGGAGGGGAGGGGCAACTCTCAGCACACTTCCTTGCAACCACTGAAGAGTAACATAGCAATCATAGAATGGTATGGTTGGAAAGGACCATAAAGATCTTCTAGTTCCAGCCCCCAGTCATAAGATCTTGAACCATTGGTTTTACTAAGTCGTGTTTTAATATTGTAGGTAAATTATTTATGCACCTTGATGTGCTACAGATACTATTCCAGTGAGCCTTGGATTGTTCCAGTGGCCAGCATATGCAGATATTTGTACTATCAAAGCATTTTCTCTAAGCAGTGGGCATTCTACAAGTACTCAATCTTCCAAAAATTCCAATAAGTCAAGATTTTAAATGTATGTTTTATATACAACAGATATATTCTGCTGCATGTACTGTACTCAAGAGCTGTTACGTAACACTATGTATATTAATAGTGCAAAAAGTCAGTGCTTCTGAAAGGAAAAAGAGACAGTGGTTTTTAAAATGCCTTTATAGCTTTGGTTCTTTATGAAACTTAATTCAGCAGGCTGAAGAAAATGGTTCTTGTATACAGCGGGCTGTTGTCCTTTAGGGTACTTGAGTATGTAAAGACAAAAAATGCTGTAGAATACAACAAACTTGTGCCATTAGTCTTTATATGTTTCTGCTCCAGAGAAGGCGGGGGCCATAAGAAGAAAAAAAGGTGTTAAAGTGATGATAAATTTTTATACCAAATGTGTTTATTTTTTTGTGCAAGTAATCCTTTAAATTTGAATTGTATTAGGTGTAAAATAAAAGAACCTCAACTCCTCAGATTAATGTTTCCTGTACATTTGTCAAAAAAAAGATTTCTGACTGAAATGGTTTCACAAATTTCCTTTTTTTTTCCTGGCTCTTAAATGCAGGAGCATTGAACAGAAAGATGGGGTTTATGCCTATTTTTTCCTTCCTTCCTTCTTCTTTCCTCTATTAAAAAATATGCTTTCTCTTTGAAATAAAGATTTTATTTCAGCTCTGTGTTAGGCTGAAAAACTGTGGCTGTCATGTGGTAGCTTTCCAGACCCATGAAGAGAAGAGGGGGAGAGAAGGAAGCAGTTCCATTGCATGACCGTGCAAATAGTGTCAAGGGAATAAAACCAGATAGGTCCATTAGGAATAAGAGTATGTGCAAAGAATGAAACCAGGCTTCTGTCACACCATGTTTTTTCAAAATGAAAAAAGTAGGCATTTAAAGTCCATGAACTCAGGTAAAGTATATGTGAAAGAAGGGAAATGTGATTATGGATGATAAATAGACTTTGGCAAAAGAATAGGATGGAAGTTCATGAAAATAAACAGCAAGAAGCAGTTAACTAAGGTTCCCTTGAAACTGGGAACTCAACCCACTGTGTATATATTTCTGTGGAAATCTCAGTCTAAAAAAACCACTTGAAGACTAGAATATCTGGTTTTAAATGAGGCTTTTGAGACAGTGGAGATAACAAAGTGTTTGTTTTGTGGGAAACTGGTGCCATGCTATAAATTGAAATTAAATAAGCAACCAGTAATCTAGGCTCTCCTTAAACTGAATGTCTGTCCTATGGGCTAAGAACTAAGTCCTTTGAGAATTAAGATTGTATACAGCAGAACCTCTCACTCTGCTGGTAACCATACTTAAGATGGTACCAACATTACAAATTCAAAATAAATTTCAAATTTTAGTGTGAATATTGGATCCCTGTTTCATTGGGAAATATAAATTATTTTTTTCATTGAGAAATTAGAGAACTCACAAGAAGAAAAAACTTGTGCTTGTTAGTAAATTAGTATTTTGTGTCAAGAGAACAGAAATGGACAAATGTGGAAAAAAATGCAATACCTAAGTCAAAGATGTAGAACAATAAAACCTGTTCATACTTTTGTTATCTATATAGGAAGCCTGTAAAAGAAGCTCGCAGGTCAGGAGGTGATTAGACCGTAAAAGCTCTGAGCAGTGTGAGTAGCTACATACTGAGAGAGTTCATGCCTCATGGTCAATAATGCTGCTGGACACTTCCCTAGGTAGACAAGTACAGGTGCAAAGTCTCTCACTAAAGCTTCTTTAAAATCAGTGATGCACTGGTGGAAAAGGGGCATCACTTGATTGGGACATCCACACTGCTATTTAGAAAATTGAACAATTAAGAGTAAAGGAATAAATAAGCAATATCCCCAACACACACTGCTAAAGAAGAGCAGGACTCTGCTGCTCAAGAGTTACATAAGAGGTAGGTTAAAGAGGCCTAAATGGGAACATAATATTTGCATGTGTGTTGTTTTCTCAAAAAAAAACCCCAAAAAATGGAAAGTGCTAAACGCATCAGACCAATTTCATGACAGACTGTCTGATAAAGTGGAAAACATATTTAAACATTTTGCTAAAACAATGTAAATATAAAATAATACTTAGATTTCACTTTACCTGAAGCTGAGTCCCCTGAAGTAGCAAGTAGGGATTGCTATGTAGGAAAATGATTTGGAAGTTACCTAGTAATTTTATGGAAACCTCAGCTCTCTGTTCAGCAGCGGGTCACAAAAGTGCTAAGAATGACTCAGTAGGAGATAAAAAATAAAACAGAAAACAATTTTACACTGTGTAAATTGAATTGTAGTTAGGTCAACATAGTGTAAAATTCTGGTATGCTCTGTTACAAAAAGACAGCACAGCTAGGAAAAGGTTCAAATTAGAGGGTCAAAGCTGTATCATGACAACATAGCTGAGGAACAAATTAATTGTCTGGGACTCTTCTGGATGGGAAAGAGGCAGCTTCATGAGAATATAAGAGGGATCTGTAAATTAAGTAGTGATGTAAAAAGGTGTGTGTTTTGATAGAAGTAGTGGTATGGAGAAAGCCAGTCCAAAATGAAAACTGAGCAACATTTTTTCACATGTGGCATGCTTACATTACAAAATTGAATATATAGCTAAAATCCCTGGATCAGAAACTCACTGAAGTTTGATCAGTAGGAGTCAAAAGAACTTATTGAAGGAAGTGTTCCAGGTTGCCTCTGACAATTCTAAAATCCTCTGGCACTCAATGAAAGCTATTTGATACCAGACACTATGTTAGGCGACCTCCGGCATTAGGCAGTGCAGTTTCTTTTAGCTTCATGTCAGTGTTCCAGCATTTGGATGAACTTTTAGGATGAGGGGTATTTGTAGTACCACAAACTGAAAACCAATGTGCTAAGCACTCTAATGGAACAAAACACTGTCTATTCCTTGTAAAGACTATTGTCTATGTGCACTGGGGAGCTGTAACTTTTGTTTATTCTAGATCTGAAATGAAAAAGGGAGAGAAAATACTTTAATGGATGCTAATCTGAAAATCCCACTAGGTTGTCTCTCTGGATAGGAAGGGATAATTTGCATTCTTCTTTACCAAACTTTGCAAAATGTTATTCACACACATTAAAGGTCAGAAATTCTGAGGTTTGTTTCACTTTCTGTTCTGCCTCACCAGGGAGGTACTTTCCACTGTGAGTTGGCTTTTCTTGGCAAGCTTTTTCATCTCCCTCCTCATTCTGCTGGAATGTCTGGGCCATACATTTTTCTTCTTCAAGAGAGACAGCTTTTACCTTGACAGCAGAGTGTTCAATTTTTTTAGACTAAAATCTCTAAGAAGCAGAATTGCAAGAGGAATAAGACTTGAGTTTTTACACTCTCTTCAGGGTATGCATGAACAAAGTTAGGCCACACCATATGAACATAGTCCCTTCAATTTTGTTACTCCTCCCTGATTTGACTAAAATGCTCTGAGAACAATGTAACTAAAAGGAGAAAAATGGCACACTTCAGTGTATCTATGCCAATTTACAGTAATGTTCCTCTTAGCACTTTCAAATCCACATCTTGCTTTTATTCTCATATAGTATTCAATAAAGACAAAAACAAGCAGCTTTTTCCTCTAGATAAATCTTGTATTTCGGAGCTATTTGAGCATGCAAAAGTTGTCAACAGGTTGCATAACTACTGCTTTCAGGTTTGTCCTTCCATAGGTCTTATATTTTAAAACCCCCAGTAATTTCCGACGTTAGTTCATTACAGATATAAAGTCTTGATTATAAACATTACTCTAACTGCATGCTGTGTTCTCTTTTTATAGGGATAAGAATAATTCCCTTATTCAGTCCTCAAAAAAAATCCTGAAGGTGTTGAAAAGAAAAGCCCTGGCATATTCCAGCTAGAATAGAGAAATACTTGCCTTGTGACTGTACAAGAAATCTACCTAAAGCCGTAGAAAATGATGAACAATGTTCGGATCCACAACTGTGTTAATATTTTTAAAGACCTAGTATCTATTTGTGCCTTGTACCTTACTTTATGAAGATTACTCTGTATTGTGGCAGGTCTATTCTTTTCTGAATACTTATTAAGCAATGTTATAGTAATTGAATCAAAGGTGTCTGCTCACATCTATTAAACTGGCTACTGCCAATAAAAAGTTTTATTCAAGTTAAAGAGAACAATGAGGGGATTAGATGCAGTTGTTCAGCTACAAATTTATATCTTTCTTTAAAAATATTAAATTTTTGAGGAATCCATGTTGCTGAACAGATTTAGTTAGTTAGGTAGTTGACAGTTAACTTGGTTTTCCTATTTAAGGTGGTATATGTAGGGGGATACAATATAAGAAAATAAAGGTAGTATAGAAAGTAATCTTACCCCATTAAGGAGTTGCAGCTGAGCCAATTATTAGAGATTGGGAGCAGGCCTGACTTTAACAGGCCACAGCTGTAGCCAATAAGAAGAATGTTATAAAAGAGTGGATTGGCTCATTGAGGGGAACTGGAATCAGTTGGTAACTGTGAGGACTAGGAAGAGTCAGTGCCTAGAGGTGATGCCTACACCTACCAGAAACATCAAGGAGGTATGAAACTCTAGCGATATGGAACCTTTGCAATATAATGATGATAGAACTCTTGCAATATAACAACAACAGGTATAAGGCTTTTTTCCTCAAAGAATATATAATAGCTATATGGTATTTGCAATCATGAGGGTTAGTGAAATAGAAACAGGGAGCAATGTGAAGATAATTTTATGTTTCTTCTGCCTTCAGAGTTTTAGCCTTTTAATTTCAAATCAAGTTTTATGCTTTGCTTTCAGAAAAGGGCATATGGGATAGATGTTTAGATAAACTTTCAAAGCGTGAGTGTAGTTAGGTGCTGGAAGGGGTCAGTCAGGGAAGTGCTATGGAATCAGGGAATCCTTTTTTGTTAGATGTAGAGGAGTAGTTTTCCCTATGATACTAAAAGAAATTTTGTTTACAGCTCTGTTATCTTTTATTTTAATAAGATACAAATTACATTGTTATTAGGGGTTGATGTGTAAAAGTAAGTGCTCATCATAATTAAGAATTGTTCTAATAAATGTTCAGTTAGGTAGCTTGCATGAAAAGATGACAAGCTAGAGTGTCATCTGCTGTGATGAATTCAGTTGGATATGCTCTTCTTGTTTGATATTATTTAAAGGTGTGTTTAATCTCTGTGTCATGTTATTTGAGGCTAGATTAATCCCAGGCTTTTAAAGAAAGCAGATTCTGTAGATTTAAGGATTAACCAATAGTTGGATGAACTGGCCATAAAAACATGTGTTCCTTAGTCAGGTCTGGAAAACAAAGCAGTTCAGTAGTGTTGACTAATGCCTTATTTTAATTTAGGACGGTATCCCAGGGATCTTGCTGGTAGCCTAATACTATTGGAATAGCTAAGGAACTGAGGAATAAGCAGAAGCTAAGGTAGGAGTTACTTCAATATTGCTTTAAAAAAAAAATCTAGATTATGTATTAATCAT